TTCTTTGTGACATCCTTGTGTGGTTGTGGTATCATGGTGATGGTGGCCTCGTAGAATGAGTTTGGGAGTTTTCCTCCCTCTGCTATATTTTAGAAGAGTTTGAGAAGGATAGGTGTTATCTCTTCTCTAAATGTTTGATAGAATCCGCCTATGAAGCCATCTGGTCCTGGGCTTTTGTTTGTTGGAAGATTTTTTTTTTTTTTTTTTGCAGTACGTGGACCTCTCACTGCCGTGGCCTCTCCCGCTGCGGAGCACAGGCTCCTGACGCGCAGGCCTAACAGCCATGGCTCATGGGCCCAGCTACTCTGGGGTATGTGGGATCTTCCCGGACCGGGGCACAAACCCATGTCCCCTGCATCAGCAGGCGGACTCTCAACCACTGCACCACCAGGGAAGCCTGTTGGAAGATTTTTAATCACAGTTTCAATTTCAGTGCTTGTGATTGGTCTGTTCATATTTTCTATTTCTTCCTGATTCAGTCTTGGCAGGTTGTGCATTTCTAAGAATTTGTCCATTTCTTCCAGGTTGTCCATTTTATATTGGCATAGAGTTGCTTGTAGTAATCTCTCATGATCCTTTGTATTTCTGCAGTGTCAGTTGTTACTTCTCCTTTTTCATTTCTAATTCTATTGATTTGAGTCTTCTCCCTTTTTTTCTTGATGAGTCTGGCTAATGCTTTATCAATTTTGTTTATTTCTCAAAGAACCAGCTTTTAGTTTTATTTATCTTTGCTATCATTTCCTTCATTTCTTTTTCATTTATTTCTGATCTGATCTTTATGATTTCTTTCCTTCTGCTAACTTTGGGGTTTTTTCTGTTCTTCGTTCTCTAATTGCTTTAGGTGCAAGGTTAGCTTGTTTATTCGAGATGTTTCCTGTTTCTTGAGGTAGGATTGTATTGCTAGAAACTTCCCTCTTAGAACTGCTTTTGCTGCATCCCATAGGTTTTGGGTCATTGTGTCTCCATTGTAATTTGTTTCTAGGTATTTTTTTATTTCCTCTTTGATTTCTTCAGTGATAACTTCGTTTTTAAGTAGTGTATTGTTTAGCCTCCATGTGTTTGTATTTTTTACAGATCTTTTACTGTAATTGATATCTAGTCTCATAGTGTTGTGGTCAGAAAAGATACTTGATACAATTTCAGTTTTCTTAAATTTACCAAGGCTTGACTTGTGACCTAAGATATGATCTATCCTGGAGAATGTTCCATGAGCACTTGAGAAAAATGTGGATTCTGTTGTTTTTAGATGGAATGTCCTATAAATATCAATTAAGTCCATCTTGTTTAATGTGTCATTTAAAGCTTGTGTTTCCTTCTTTATTTTCATTTTGGCTGATCTGTCCATTGGTGAAAGTGGGGTGTTTAAGTCCCCTACTATGAATGTGTTACTGTTGATTTCCCCTTTTATGGCTGTTAGTATTCGCCTTATGTATTGAGGTGCTCCTTTGTTGGATGCATAAATATTTACAATTGTTATATCTTCTTCTTGGATTGATCCCTTGATCATTATGTAGTGTCCTTCTTTGTCTCTTCTAATAATCTTTAGTTTAAAGTCTATTTTGTCTGATATGAGAATTGCTACTCCAGCTTTGTTTTGGTTTCCATTTTCATGGAATATCTTTTTCCATTCTCTCACTTTCGGTCTGTATGTGTCTCTAGGTCTGAAGTGGGTTCTTGTAGACAGCATATATATGGGTCTTGTTTTTGTATCCATTCAGCCAGTCTGTGTCTTTTGGTGGGGGCATTTAATCCATTTACATTTAAGGTAATTATCGATATGTATGTTCCTATTCCCATTTTTCTAATTGTTTTGGGTTTGTTATTATAGGTCTTTTCCTTCTCTTATGTTTCTTGCCTAGAGAAGGTACTTTAGCATTTGTTTTAAAGCTGGTTTGGTGGTGCTGAACTCTCTCAGCTTTTGCTTGTCTGTAAAGGTTTTAATTTCTCCATCAAATCTGATTGATAACCGTGCTGGGTAGAGTAATCTTGGTTGTAGGTATTTCTCCTTCATCACTTTAAATATGTCCTGCCAGTCCCTTCTGGCTTGCAGAGTTTCTGCTGAAAGATCAGCTGTTAACCTTATGGGGATTCCCTTGTGTGTTATTTGTTGTTTTTCCCTTGCTGCTTTTAATATGTTTTCTTTGTATTTAATTTTTGACAGTTTGATTAACATGTGTCTTGGCGTCTTTCTCCTTGGATTTATCCTGTATGGGACTCTCTGTGCTTCTTGGACTTGATTAACTATTTCCTTTCCCATATTAGGGAAGTTTTCAACTATAATCTCTTCAAATATTTTCTCAGTCCCTTTCTTTTCCTCCTCTTCTTCTGGAACCCTTATAATTCGAATGTTGGTGCATTTAATGTTGTCCCAGAGGTCTCTGAGACTGTCCTCAGTTCTTTTCATTCTTTTTTCTTTATTCTGCTCTGCAGTAGTTATTTCCACTATTTTATCTTCCAGGTCACTTATCCGTTCTTCTGCCTCAGTTATTCTGCTATTGATCCCATCTAGAGTATTTTTAATTTCATTTATTGTGTTGTTCATCATTGCTTGTTTCATCTTTAGTTCTTCTAGTTCCTTGTTAAATGTTTCTTGCATTTCCTCTATTCTATTTCCAAGATTTTGGATCATCTTTACTATCATTATTCTGAATTCTTTTTCAGCTAGACTGCCTATTTCCTCTTCATTTGTTAGGTCTGGTGGGTTTTTACCTTGCTTCTTTATCTGCTATGTGTTTCTCTGTCTTCTCATTTTGCTTATCTTACTGTGTTTGGGGTCTCCTTTTTGCAGGCTGCAGGTTTGTAGTTCCCATTGTTTTTGGTGTCTGTCCCCAGTGGCTAAAGTTGGTTCAGTGGGTTGTGTAGGCTTCCTGGTGGAGGGGACTAGTGTCTGTGTTCTGGTGGATGAGGCTGGATCTTGTCTTTCTGGTGTGCAGGTCCACATCTGGTGGTGTGTTTTGGGGTGTCTGTGGCCTTATTATGATTTTAGGCAGCCTCTCTGCTATCAGGTGGAGTTGTGTTCCTGTCTTGCTAGTTGTTTGGCATAGGGTGTCCAGCACTGTAGCTTGCTGGTTGTTGAGTGAAGCTGGGTGTTGGTGTTGAGATGGAGATCTCTGGGAGATTTTCGCCGTTTGATATTATGTGGAGCTGGGAGGTCTCTTGTGGACCAGTGTCCTGATGTTGGCTCTCCCACCTCAGACACAGCACTGACTCCTGGCTGCAGCACCAAGAGCCTTTCATCCACACGGTTCAGAATAAAAAGGAGAATAAGTAGAAAGAAAGAGGATAAAAGAAAAGAAAATAAAGTAAGGTAAAATAAAAGAAAGTTATTAAAATAAAAAAATAATTATTAAGAAATATTTTTTTAGAAAAGTTAACAAACAAAACAAAAAACCCCTGGATGGATAGAACCCTAGGACAAATGGTAAAAGCAAAGCTATACAGACAAAATCTCACACAGAAGCATACACATACACACTCACAGAAAGAGGAAAAAGGGAAAAAATAATAAATCTTGCTCTGAAAGTCCACCTCCTCAATTTGGGATGATTCGTTGTCTATTCAGGTATTCCACAGATGCAGGGCACATCAAGTTGATGGTGGAGCTTTAATCCGCTGCTCCTGAGGCTTCTGGGAGAGATTTCCCTTTCTCTTCTTTGTACGCACAGCTCCCAGGGTTCAGCTTTGGATTTGGCGCCGCCTGTGTGTGTAGGTCGCCTGAGGCGTCTGTTCTTCGCTCAGCCAAGACGGGGTTAAAGGAACCGCTGATTCGGGGACTTTGTCTCACTCAGTACGCAGGGAGGGAGGGGTACGGAATGCAGGGCGAGCCTGCGGCGGCAGAGGCTGGCATGACGTTGCACCGGTCTGAGGCGCGCCATGCATTCTCCCGGGGAAGTTGTCCCTGGATCCCGGGACCCTGGCGGTGGCGGGCTGCACAGGCTCCCCTGAAGCAAGGTGTGGAGAGTGACCTGTGCTCGCACACAGGCTTCTTGGTGGCAGCAGCAGCAGCCTTAGCATCTCATGTCCGTCTCTGGGGTCCGCGCTGTTAGCCACGCTGGAGTCTTGCTATTGAATTGTATGAACTTTTTATATATTTTGGATACTAATCTCTTTCCAGATACATGATTTGCAAATAATTTTTCATATTTGGTCCGTTGCCTTTTCATTTTGTTGATGGTTTCCTTTGCTGTGCAGAAGCTTTTTAGTTCAGTCCCACTTAGTTTTGCTTTTGTTGCCTTTGCATTTGGTGTCAAATCTAAAAATCATTGCCAGGACCAATGTCACGTAGTTTACTGCATATGTTTTCTTCTAGGAATTGTATAGTTTCAGATCTTACAATCAAGTCTTTAACCATTTTGAGTTAATTTTTGTATATGGTGTAAGATAATGGTTCAGTTTCAGTCTTTTGCATGTGGCTGTCCAGTTTTCCCAGCACCATTTATAGAAGAGACTGTCCTTTCTCCATTTTATACTCTTGCTTCCTTTGTCATAAATTAATTGACCATACATGTGTGGGTTTATCTCTGGGTTCTCTATTCCACTGAGTTATGTACGTTTTTATGCCAGTACCATACTCCTTTGATTACTGTAGCTCTGTAACATGGTTTGAAATGAAGAAGCATGATGGCTCCAGCTTTTTTCTTCTTAAGATTGCTTTGGATATTTGAGGTTGTTTGTGGTCCATACATATTTTAGGGTTGCTTGTTTTATTTCATCAGTCTATTCTTAACATGCTGTTTTCATAATAGCACACTGTTTCTGGTCCTCTTCCTTTACAGTCACTTTATATATATATATGTCTCCCCAGAATTATTCAATATTTTCCAAGTCCAGAGATGTGGGAGATATTTCTGAGCAGCCCTTGCTCTGTGGTCTAATTATTTAAACATATTTATTGATTTAAACAAACTAAAATAGTTATAGTGAAGGTAAAATGGTACGCTTATATTTCAAGGTTCCCACAATTTGCAGTTAACTAAGATAATGCATGTCTGTATCCCCAGCTTGTAAATGTGACACTGATGGGACCATTTCGGGTGGCCTTTCTGTGAGCTGCTCTGATCCTGACTTGGGGTCTTTGGCCGGCCAGTGCCTGTGTAAGGAGCCGAGTGCGACCGGTGCAAGACCAACCACTACGGACTGACTGTCACCGACCCCCTGGGCTGTCAGCGTTAAGTCAACAGGGCCTGGGCCGCCAACCTGAATGTATTTAAGGCTTGGAGCTGCCTCTGTCACGTCTAAAATTTGGTCATTGTAAGTACCTGAGTCCTACCAGCCTCTCGATTTTTTTTTTTTTTTTTAAGTGTACCAAACCTCCCACAAATTTTAGTAAGTTAGTGGAGAACTTTTTTAGGTGGTTTGCTGAGTTTATCATGAAGAACCAACAGGGGGTGCTCACATTTTCGCTGCTGGAGCAAACACAGGGGGAAATGCCAAGAAATTTAATGCCAAGTTATGAAAACTTAAAAAAAAAAATCCTCCACTAGGAGTCTACTCTACAAATTTGTTAAATTACATTATGCATTTTTGCATAGGTTGATGACTTCTTAGGCAATTTTCAAGTGGGGGGTTTCTTTTTATTTTTTTAAATTATTTTTTCCCTCTCACACTGCTTTTAGTATTGTCTTATGTTCTCTGTCAAAGAAAAGGAAAGAAAGAAGCAAGGGAAGTGGCTGTGGGAAAATAGAAATAACCTCAGAGTTTTCTGGGGCCAAATGGGGAGGTCATTGGCTCTAGGATCACAGAAACTCAGGGCTGCCTGGGGTCTCACAGAGCTGCTAATTCCACAGAGCATCTGGGTTAATTATTTCCCTTTGGTCATAGTGTCATGCTCTGTGGTTTTGCCCATATAAGGAACTGGATTATTTGCATGTTTAGAAAGCAACAAGATGAATCATTCTGTTAAAAAAAAAAAAAAAAACCTCTTCTTTTTGGACTTGATGCAAAATTAAATTTCAGCATAATGAATTATGTAATTTCCTATTATACATTTCAGTACTCCTGGCATTTCCCCTGGTTCACTAATAACCTTATGCCCTCCGGCAAATGGACCAAACGTTGGTTTTTTGTTTTGCTTTGTTTTTTCTTTTGTAAGAGCTTTAGTTACACATAATTCACACACAGTTCACTTTTTGAAGTGTACAATTCAGTGATTTTTTAGTATATTCAGAGTGTATAACCATCACTACAGTCAATTTTAGAATATTTTCGTTACCCCAAAAAGAAATGTGAAGAAGCATTATTCACAACAGTCAAAAGGTGGAAGCACCCCAAATGTCCATCAGTGAATGGATGGATAAACAAAGTGTGGTAGGTAAACACAGTGGAATATCATTCAGCCTTAAAAAAGGAAGGAAATCCTGATCCAGTCTGTAATATGGATGGACCTTGAAAACATTATGCTAAGTGAAATAAGCCAGACCCCAAAGGAAAAGTATTGTGTGATTCCACTAATATGAAGTATCCAGAGTAGTCAAATCCATATTTTTTTTTGTTTTTTTTTTTTTTGTTTGTTTGTTTTGCGGTACGCGGGCCTCACTGTTGTGGCCTCTCCCGTTGTGGAGCACAGGCTCCAGACGCGCAGGCTCAGCGGCCATGGCTCACGGGCCCAGCCGCTCCGCGACATGTGGGATCTTCCCGTACTGGGGCACGAACCCATGTCCCCTGCATCGGCAGGTGGACTCTCAACCGCTGCGCCACCAGGGAAGCCCTCAAATCCATATTAACAGTATGTAGAATGGTGGTGGCCAAGGGCTGGGGGGAGGGAGGAAGAATGGGGAGAGGTGGTATTTAATGGGGACAGAGTTTCAGTTTTGCAAGAGGAAGAGAGTTCTGGAGATTGACTGCACAGCAGTGTGAGTGTACTTAACGTTGTTGACCTGTACACTTAAAAATGGTGAAGATGGTAAATTTTCTGTTATACGTATTTTATCATAAAAAAGAAAAGAAAGGAAACCCCATGCTTTAGCCGCCACCTCCCTATCCCCCCAGCCCTAGGCAAGCACTAATATCCTTTCTGTTTCTATAGATTTGCCTATCTTGGACATTTCATACAAGTGGAGTCATACAATATGTGGTCTTTTGTGTCTGGCTTCTTTTGCTTACCATCATGTTTTCAAGGTTCATCCATGTTGTAGCAGATATCAGTACTTCATTTCTTTTTATTGCTGAATAATATTCCATTGTATGGGTATACCACAATTCATCTACTCGTCAGTGGACGGACATTTGGGCTGTTTCCATGCACATTGGCTTTTCCTGCACGGGAAATACACATCTTGCTCTGGTTGCACAGTTTCTTAGCCTTTACAACATAAGCGGGATTAGCATTGCCAGTGGGTGGAAGAGAAAGAGGAGAGAGGGAATGGAAAAAAAAAAGTAACGAGGTGCTAAGAAAGAGAGAGGAGAGAAAGGGGGTTATCATAGGTGCCTCTGCCGGAGAGGGAGCTGTCGGTAATAACGGTGACACTTAGAAACCCTTCCCCTAGTCACCCGACCCAGCCAGCATCATTCAGAATTGTGCCCAGCTCTGCAGCATGCATGACCTCTTGTCTCCTCCTAATTGCCATCCAGTAGAACCACATGAGGGCTGCAAAAGTGTCTGGCACTGCATTTCCTGTGCGGGGTTAAATGCAGTCCAGTAATGGTGCAGCCAGGCAGACAGTGAACTTGGCAGGGCAGGCTGCTCTGTGTTCTCGTGGCCACGTGTTTTGCTCAGTGTAAGCTGTTAAGGACATTTACCAGGGTGGAGAAATCAAAATGAGAATAATTGTGTATGCTGTGCTTTCAGCCTGTGACTGTAACCCCCTAAGGATTATGCCACTCTTGACCTGTGATGTGGAAACAGGCCAATGCCTGTGTCAGTCTCTTGCTACTGGACCACACTGTGAAGAATGCACTATACGTATTTGTCTCTGATTTTGCCTTTAGGGAGTGATGCAGTCTTCTACTGGCATTGCCTAGAAGAGACTTGGTCCTGTTGATTGCTTTCCTTGTCCTATTGTATTTCGGTACTCCCGTGGTAAAAGTATTTACACTACAGGAATCAGCGAACACTGGAAATAAACCCCCATCTTTCTGCAGAGAGCTAGTTGTTAAACATTTACCAGCACCGTGACTTTTACCAGTTGGGACTGAATCAACCCAGGCACCGACAGCAATAGTTTTATCCTCTGTTCTCTTGGAAGTACCAAGCAGTAGAATATAAGAGCAATTATCTGGCCCCCTTGTTAAACCCACCAGATCGTGGGGCCTTTTCTTCTGTCTCTTATACACAGTCTCTTTCCCACCTTTACCACTCCATGCCTAAAAATATTTTGGATGAGCTCATTAAAAAAAACAACAACCCTTAGGTTTAAATGTATTGTAGATTCCTGTGGGAAATAAACCCTTGGATTTTTGACAGACTCCACTACCCACATGAGCATGTATGTCTCAAATTAGCAAAATAAAGCATTTTTCACTCCATAAGAAATGTGTCACGCATTTAGGGAGTTAAAAACCCAGCTCTTTTCTTTGTCCTCTGATCTTGGCAGCCCGCCATGACATTTTAGAAAGAAAAAACAAAAATTTAACCTAATAAAAGAACAGTGACCTTGATGTGTCTGAAGAAATGTAGCTGATAAATAAGAAACATATGTCTGTTACGACATAGTTTTGTGCTAATATTGTAAGTTGCTTTACTGAAAACACATGGGGGATGGGGCAGAGGAGGTGGGGAAAGAAAGCAAGGAAGTAAATATGTAGAGGGAACTCTGTGTACGACGGGACAAGTAATCTAGAAGTTTCACGTTGGAAGGTGCTCCATGCCGAGCTCCATGACCGTGAGTGGACAACACAAAAAAAGAGTGCAGAGCTGGTGAACAGATCAACGGAGACACCAGGTCAGATCATTCCAGACAAACTTTAGACACGGGCTGCCTTTTTTCGTTGGCTTGTGAACTGCCACTGTGTACTTAATTGAGTCTGCAAAAGGAAAATAACTGAGCAGGGGCTGGTGATGGGGCAACTTGTCCATCATGGCTGAGCCGAGGCATCTGCTTGGTACCGCACATCTGTCAATGGTGCCCTGGATGGTCCGCTGGGGGGCCAACATGACAGCGTACCCTGCCTAGAGGGGGTTTTCACAACCCCATCCTGGAAAAAGCAGCTCAGTTCACATTGTTTTTGCCTAAACTAAAGTTTGGTTTTGGGAAAAATATCAAAGGCCCTTTGCTGCGTTGTGTAACAAATTATGTCAACTTTTGATATTTAAAATAAATCTTTTTGAGTAAACTGGACATAAAATTTTTCCAAGATGACAACTAAAAGCATACAGATACTTAACCAATTTCAAATGAGAGTTCCGTGCCTACTAAGATGTTAATTCTGCCTGAGTTTGTTAAATGGAGATTTGAGGCGGAAGTCTTTTTCTGAGTATTTTACAGTGAATGTCAGACTTAAGAAGTAGCTGTTTATATCTCACCAGCTGTTTATATCAAATAAAGGTCAGGATGTTGCAATGATGACAAAAGTCTTGAATAGAGTTGAGTCTCTCACACAGGGAGAGTATGTTAGCCAAAACAATTATTTATAAGCAAGTGATTCTACTAAACTGTGATATTCGTATAAGATGTCAAAATCAGCCTGAATGATTTTTTTTAGCCCCAAACGTTGCCATAGTGTGTAAGTAAAAATCCCTAGGGATTTTATGGTAAGGGACTGAAAGCAGTTGCAAGTAGGCTAGTCAAAGAATTTCTCCTGGCTGACCTTAGACAACCCAGCTTGAAGCTAATATTGACGCTGTCAGAGGAACTGTGAGATTTCCACTGCATTTCTTTCTCTTTTTTTTATTGGAGTATAGTTAATTTACAATGTTGTGTTAGTTTCAGGTGTACAGCAAAGTGATTCAGTTACACATATACATATATCTATTCTTTTTCCGATTCTTTTCTCATTTAGGTTATTGCAGAATACTAAGTAGAGTTCCCTGTGCTATATGGTAGGTCCTTTTTGATTATCCATCGCATTTCCATTCAAAGCAATACATAGACAAACCCCCGTCCCCTTCATTTCAAGTCCTAGAAATGGGAGGTGTGTGTTTTTAGAAGATCATTACCAAGTGCGTAGGCAAGCAAGCTACTGTGTGATTGTTCAGGCTACATGGCTGTTTGCTATGCATCGATGGAACGGTAGTGCTTTTAATATTACACTTCAGAGCAGCAGATGTCTTGAAGGCTGGAATCCACTGAGCATTTTCTCTTTGTAGGTTGGATACTGGGGACTGGAAAATCACCTCCACGGATGTTCTCCCTGTGTGATATTTGAAGTGCTCATTCCAATGTATAAGTCAGTAAAATGAATGACGAAGTTTTGTGGCAATATTCCTCACTCCCATTTCCATCAAATAAACAAAAGCACATTTCACTTGGACATGCTTATAGTCATAGGTGAAGGAGTTCATTCCATGACAAGCAAAGGGCATTGAAAAGCTACGATCTTGAGACATTAAGGATAGCCCGACTGATTGCTTTCACTTCAGATATTTCCACGGGTGAGCTACCCAGGCAGTAGAACTGTCATCCCGAGGTGGTATGAAAGATGCCTGCAAATGTGTGATCTGACCTGCCTAAAAGTCCAACCTTTTGTCAGCCAGTAAAGAGAAGGTCCTGCAGTCTCCTTTGCCCAGTTTTTAGAGCAGAATCAGAGAGCCTCTGAGGAGAGAAGTGGCAACCAAGGTTTCATTGATCTGGATTTGCTTGTCAAGACTAGACCTGTAGAATGGAGAGAACAAGCTTATGGTTACTAGCGGGGGGAGGTGGTGGTGGTGCGGTCAGGGGTACGGATACTTAGGGAGCTTGGGACTGACATGGACACACGGCTGTATTTAAAATGGATAACCAGCAAGGACCTACTGTACAGCACCGGGAACTCTGCTCAATATTACGTAACACCTAAATCGGAAAAGAATTTGAAAAAGAATAGATACATGTATGTGTATAACTGAATCACTTTGCTGTACACCTGAAACCAACACATCATTGTTAATCAACTCTACTCCAATATAAAATAAGTTTAAAAAACAAACAAATAAACAAAAAAACCAGACCTGTAGATCCGTTGTTTCTCCACATCCTCCCCAGGATGGTTGATTGATGGTTTCAAAGAATGGGCCCAAACCCAAGGGGCATTTAGCCCAACACCCCCAAGGCCCTTATCTTACACCCGTCCCTCCTCCATGTTTTTTTTTAGGAGGTGGGTTTGTTTTCCCTCAGGTGCTCACCCGAGGATGGGCAGTGTGATTGTCGTCCACATGTTCCAGGTCGCAGCTGCACTGAGCCAGCGCCCAGCTATTTCTTTGCTCCTTTGAATTTCTACGTCTACGAGGCAGCGGAAGCCACACCACTCCAGGGACTGGCTCCTTTGGCTCGTATTTCATGGACTCTCTTTACAGACTTCATTTGAAGCGGTGTGGGTAAATACACACACCCTTGAGATCGTGGGTAAGTTACCCGGAAGAGAGTGGTTTTGCCCACAAACACAGCAGAGTAGATTCTGTCATGGAACTGCAGATTCTATAAAGTCTTGAGGGCAGAGTCTGCATTTTGTTCATCTTTGTATCCCTGTTCTGGCACGGAGCCAAGTGTGAATTGCATTAAGTTGTGATGAAATGGACTTGAGTTTTGCTCTTTCAAGGTACCCATCAGATAGAATGTGTTTATTGAGCATTTCCTGGTCTGTCTCCCTGACAACACTGTAAACCGTGAGAGGGAAGGGAGGATGTGTACCCCATCGCCTCTGTTGCTCTAGTGACGAGCACTGTGATTGGTGCATAGTAGGCAGCCATGGCTCTCTGCTAATGAATGAATGAATACGGTACTGAGCTAAGTGTAAGATGTGCTCGCTGGGCTCCTGAAGCTCATCTCGGATTAGCAGTCCTCAGTGCTGTTCATAGGAGTGTGTGATTGGAAATGTCGCTTGGTCTGCTTCATTCCCTACAAGTCAGCAGGCCTGCGGGAGATGCTCCCTAAAAATATTTATCCCAAAGTCTTACGAGGGGGGCAAACCCAGGCATCTGAACCCATCAGAGAAAATACAGGTTAGCCTCCCATGACACTCTTATGCCTTTGAGTCCAGCCACAAGCAGGAATGTGACAAAGGAAAAGGCGATGTGAGGCGAACGACTTCAAGGGGAGAAGGCATGTGAAAGTTGATTCTGGAGACAGGATTTGGATAGAAAATTGGGAACTCATTCCAGGTTCCAGTGACTAAGTCTTTTCCTGAGGTCTCTTCCTTATCTGGACACGACTGGTGGGAGGGATGAAAATACCCCTTAAGAGGCTTGGAATTAGCTTTTTTTTTTTTTTTGCGGTACACGGGCCTCTCACTGTTGTGGCCTCTCCCATTGCGGAGCACAGGCTCAGCGGCCATGGCTCACGGGCCCAGCCGCTCCGCGGCATGTGGGATCTTCCCGGACCGGGGCACGAACCCATGTCCCCTGCATCGGCAGGCGGACTCTCAACCACTGCGCCACCAGGGAAGCCCGGAATTTGCTCTTTTACTGCCTGAGATTAGGGCAAGAAAAGGAGGCTTGCACTGTCCCGAACTAGACTCACAACTGCGGTGGGTGGAGTCAAGATAAAGCAATCCTATGTCTAGATTCTTCTTCATTGCTTTTAGTATTGCAGGTTTATGATGGTAACTGAAAAAAAAAAAGTTTTGGGAAAAGAATATTGATATTTATATTTAGGCTAAAACTATCATGAAATAATAGGAAAAAATATATATGTATATACATAGTGATCTTGGCCCCTGGCTCCTGACACAGAGCTCCCAAATCCTTTGGACTTTCCTGGGTGATAAGAGTGTCATTTGTTCTGATGAGGTGACTCTGGTTGGGCTCCTGGATGGCTTCAGGATGGTGGCTGGTCACCAGAAAGACCAAGCCATGATTAGAAGCTTGAAACTTTTGCCTCCACCCACCAGCCTCCAGGAAGGGGAGAGGTGAGGGAGACTGAGGTAATGATCCATCATGCGCGTGGGTTGAAGACTCCATCCAATTCCCGAAAGTACTGGGTTCAGAGAGTTTCGAGGTTGGTGACCATATCTGTGTGCTGGGAGGGTGGTGCCTCCCAGCCACAAAGGGACAGAAGCTCCTATGTCTGGGATCCTTCCAGTCCTATGTACATCTTCATCTGAGTGTTTATCTGTCTCCTTCATCATATCCTTTATTATATAACCAGTAAATATAAGTAAGTGCTTCCCTGAGTTCTGTGAGCCATTCTAGCAAATGATCGAACTCAAGGAGGGGGTCACAGGAACCCCAGTTTACAGCCGGGTGCGTAATGCTGAGCTCCAGGCTAAGACTGGCGTACAAAGGCGTTAGTTAGCACCTCTGCCCTCTACAAGTTTTTAACCACAGCTGATACCTTTTATAGAGAGCTCAGGATGGGAGCAGTGCCATACAACAAGGAGAGTCCATAAGTGCATTAGGATTTTGGAGCCACGACTGATCCTTTACGAATGGGCTTAACACGCGGGTAGAATCATTTGCCTGAGACTAGAAAGCCATGAGCGTTTCCATTGGTGGATGAGGGGAGAAGACAGTCCAACCAGAAGAGTTCTAAGTAACAGCTCAGAGGAGAAACAACGCAGGTGTATTTGCGGGTAGAACAGAAAGTTTATATAGGAAAGAGGTACTGGAAGAGAAAATTAGATTCTCCTATTAAAGAGGCTAAATTTTCTTCTTGGGGCAATGAGAACTCGTTGAAACCTTCTGAGCAAAGGCATGACGTGATGAAGATTGTCCTCTGTGCCCTTACGGACACCATCCAGCAGAAGTGGAGCCTGGGGTGGAGGGACTCAGGGTGCAGTAGTCCAGACAGGGATGGAGAAGGGGCAAGGTTCAGGGAGAAGAGAGAGGATGGGGATGGAGACATGAAAGGACATGAATCCAAGACCCCAGCTTTCAAATAATTGTTTTAATACTCAAATAGGAGAGCTAAGAAGAATGACAGTTAACTTTGTTGGTGGGTCTTCAGAAAGATATGTATATTTGTATCTACATCTACCTATCTATCTATCATCTCTCAATCACTTGTTTACCTATTATCTATCATCTATCTATCAGCTATCTGTTCACCTATCATTTACCTACCTATCTATCTAATCTTTCTTAGTCTGTCTGGGCTGCTAAAAATACCATAGACTGGGTAGCTTATAAACAACATAAACTTATTTCTCACAGTTCTGCAGACTGGGAAGTCTAAGGTCAAGGTGCCTGCAGATTCCATGTCTGAGACCCACTTCCAGGTTCTTAGATGGCTGAGTCCTCACATGACAAGGGAGCTCTCTGGGGCCTGTTTTATAAGGGTACTACTCCTAATCACCTCCTCCAAACCCCACTTCCTAATACCATCAACTGCGGATTCGATTTCAACATATGAATTTGGGAGAGGGGGAGTGGGATACAAACCTTCAGTCTATGGCAATATCCTTGCTACTCAAAATGTGGTGTGTAGACCAACAATAGTGTCATCACTTGTGGATTCATTAGACTTGGAGGCTCTCAGGCCCCACCCAGACCTATTGAATCCAATCTACATGTTAGCAAGATCCCCAGGTGATTTGTACACAGTTTGGGAAACACTGGCTTGTTATAGAAACTAACTGTGGTCACAAAAGTTAATATTGATTGAATTTAACATGCTACGGCATTTAATGTAGTATAATATAAAGTTAATTCCATAATACGTTTTCTGTATAAAAGTGGTAAAATAGCTTCTAATTTTGTGTTACAAGATGAACACAATAGGTGAGAGGAAAAAAATGAAGAGGACAAATAAACGTAATCCAGTGTGGCCTGTCCAAAGGGTCCTCATCACAGAGGTTGAGGAGCTGGTCGGAGAGCATGGCTGAGAGTCTGAATAGTGACCACAGAGTATGAGGGTTCCTGAAGTTGACTACAGCTGACCTCAAGGCTGCCTGCTCACGATGAACAACCAGGGCACCTGTGAAGTTAAAAACCTTGACTGTAAAACCAACAATGAAACATCAAGCAAACATCGATGTCTAGGGTATAGTGAGAATTTGGAAATGAGCAATTGGAGATTCTAACTGGGTCGGCAGCTGAATGACTAAGGAGATGATATAAAACAGAGTCCCATAAAACCCAGGATTTTAAGGAAACTGGAGTTGCATGAATGCTAGTCTGCTGTTTTAATAGTTTGGTTGGTGGAATCTTGCTATCCCGGTATAATCTCTCATGGGAACGTTTAAGACCAGATTCTGCAAACCATGAGAACTAAAAGAAATTGGTCTGGAGAGTGTTAAAATTACAACATCTAATAATCTTTGAATCTGTATATCATGCATATTGTTAATTTTCGAAACACCACAAAACCAGTAGAAAAGAAGAAGTGTTTTCAGAGTTTAGAATTGCACTAGTTGAGCAGCCCTTAAAAAGAAAACCCAACACATAGTTTTAGGACCACTAAAAATTTCCCCTTTTCATAGAGAAACAAAAAATTATAAGCTGCCTTTATGTGTTCTTCCTGAAGCTATTAAGTGAGAATCATGATTACCTTTTAAAGTATGGTATAGTCTGAAACTCTTGAACTCTGGTAAAATTGGAACTTTTGTTGGTTACTTAAACAGTCGTTTCTTTTTAAGGTACTAGCAACAGCTCTGCCTACATGTGATGTGTATTTCCAGCAACAAGGAGATGATTTCGTAACTGACAAAGGAAGCATAATACTGAAGAGAAATCAGAAGCAAAGCATTTGAGCAGATGAGCAGAGTAAGGTAAATCATTTCTTCAGGGTCGTTGTCTGTTGTACTATAAGCAAATAACCCGGGTAATGCACTTAGAACCATGCGTGGCCCATGTAAGTGATCAGCCAGTGTAAGCCCTATTATCCTGAAGAATAGAATGAAGGAAAGGAAGAAGCCAGCTGAAAGTAATTCGAGGCTCTGGGGAAAACTTCAATAGCTTTATTTCTCTACAAAATGAAAATTTCTGGAAAATAAGATTTTGGAGAGTTGAAGAGTCAGACTCTGGATTTACACTTTCTTATCATGTTAGAAAGGAGAGATACAGTATTGAGGAATGGCTGTCTTCCCAGTTGGAGAAAGGACATGCTAATGTCCCTGGGGGTGGTGTGTGACCGTGCCCTTGAATCTGAGATGGATGTAGTTGGTCATTGCCGGCGTGAGTGCCAGGGTGATGCCGCCTCCACAGGGCCCTCCCTCTGATGGCTTCAGAAGGCCAGAGGAGACCTGAAGACCTTGTAGCTAGCCAACTAGTATTCACTTGAAGTCAGGGGCACTTTAGGCCTGTTTGTTTGTTCATTTGTTATGCCGGGGTCTTTACTGAGCACTCCTGTGTGCATATGCATGAAGGGGCATGTTGGAAAAGCAAAGGAAAGCAGACATTAGCTGTCTTGTTCATAAACCCAGCAGCTGAAACAGTTCCTTATTCATAAGAGACTTTCTCGAGTGGATGAAATGATTGATTGAATGAAAATGGAAATACCTAGACATAGAGCCTGCCCTTAAGATTGTGGTGGGGGAAATGAGCCACGTATACAAACAATGAATGCATGGCAGGGTGGGGTAAGTATCATAAAGAGTTGTACATAAGGTGATGCAGATTCCACTTAAGGAGAAACACCTCCAACTGAGAGGATACGAGAAGGCTTCATAGATGGTGTTCTTCCTTCCAGGCCCATGTACACCAAGTCACAGAGGCTTTGCTCTTTATTCTACTTGTTTCTGTTCCCATGCCACATGCCCATGAAGCCTTCTCTGACTCTAGGCATCTAGGGAATGTGAGGCTAGTCAAGTTTTTTCAGGTAACTCTAATACACGGGACTATTGTATTGGATAGTGCAAATATAGAACATTTTTATTATTGTAGAAAGTTCAATTAGGCAGTGTTGCTCTAGAGCAATGAGGTTCAAATTGGAACCATCAAAGACTTAGGAAAACATGGGTACATTTTGTGATCTTCATTTGGATTTAAATATTTGAGGTGTTTGGCACAATGATTTAAAAAAAAAAAACCCACACATTTTGGATCATTTGGAGGGAGAAAAGAAATCTGCATGTTTGCCGAGCGCCCCAAGTGATACGAGTGGTCCCTGGTAGCACTTTGAGAAACACTGCTCAAAGCATCCACGGCCTCCTCTCCTGACTCTTGCCTGAAATGACCACCTCTGTATTACTGACTTGCAAAACTTCTAGTCATCCCTTAAGACCCAATTCAGGTTTATCTTTCTCTGACATTCGCTACCCTGACATCTGGACATAATTAATTTTCTATCTCTGGAGTCCCGTAGGTCAGTAATTTTCAAACTACAGGTCATGCCTATTAGTAAGTAGGTCATGAAATCAATTGACTGGATCAGTTTAGTACAACAGAAGAATATAAAACAAGAGCATTTTTTTGTGAAACTTTTATTTCAGTTTTATATAAATGTGTGTGCGTGCGCGCGCGCACACTGAGTCACTGTCTTAGGTTGGATTCTCTACGATCAGAGATTACAACAGAGATCTGGGTGCATGTGTTTTACTAAGGAAGCACTCATCAGGAGAAACCTGTCAGGGAGGAGGGCAGTAGGCTGGGGAGCGGGGAAAGTGAGGCAAGGATGGCAGCTAGGCCTTGCCTGAGTCTAGCCTTGCCTGATCCCCTGGGGAAGCTGTGAAGCAGAAATTGCACCACAGAGTTGTCCCCCATTGAGGCCCCAGGGCTGTCTTCTCATGTCAGGCAGACATGGCTGTAGGCTGCCAGGGCAGATGCAGATCACCTCCCAGGTGAGGTGGCTCACATCAGCCAAGGGCAATTCTCAAGAGAAGGGAGCAGTGGTGAGACATAGCAACCAACAATCCCAGGAGCTGGTGGCGAGATAGAGTGGCCCAGTAAAGGGGACCAGGCAGTACACTAACAGCACAGACTCAAGTTCACTCCTGGCATGCTCAGACCCATGTGCAGGGCCAGGGCAAAAGAAAAATTAAAATGCAGGGCCCCTTATTCAGAAATTAGGGAAAGGGCCCTTGAAGATAGTAAAGTGTAAAGCTTTTTACTTTCTTCCATAGTCTCTCTCAACTTGTCAAAATATTTTTATGTGCTATTTAATGTCATCCTAAGTAAAGAAATATTAAAAATTTAAATTATTAACCTGAATTATACTATTTATCTCTATAGCATGCAGTGCCAATTTTAACTGCAAACATAAGAAATTCATGGTCACTGGGAGTGACAATGAGCTTGGCTACTCCTACTTGGTTCCCAAAGCCATGCTTTTTCCCTGCTGGGGACACAGCATCACATAAAGACCATTGGTTTAAGGAGTAAATAACATCTAGAAGAAAACTGCCCCATCTCACAGGGTTTCCTTTCCAAGCTCGTGAAACTAATGCATCTTTTAGGGGCCCCATCCCACTGCCATCTCAGGTCAGCATCTTCTGGATGCCATGGTTTGTGTAGGAACAGTGGATCCCAAAGTCACATGACCACTGATACACTTCTTTTACTTCTTTTACTTTTACTTCACTTCTTTTACTGTAAAGTGGATCCCTTGGGCTGAGGAAGTTGTGTTTTACGACATTGGTGAATTAGACACTCTTTGAGCTGTCAGAGAGTGGTGCTGACCAAGGCCATAGGGTGTCCGATTCTCACTGTGGGCATGACATCGCCTTAGCCCAAGGGATCCAATTCACTATCCTTCAGTATAGGGAGTCAGTGTCATATTTTGTAGAACATCTGGATGGTCCAGATTCTTTGGGGCTATACTGTTACAGAGAGCAGGAGAATTATAATAGCCTTGGGGCAAGACTAAATATACACAACCGCCTATCCCAAGCGAATACAGATTGCTTCTGTTTCTTCTTCCTCATGGAGATGGAAGAAAACATATTTTGCATTTCAATAGCTGCGTATCATGCACCAGGGTGGTGGTAACCGGCTCTGGTCATGATACTCCTTCCAGCAGGACAGCTGCCAAGTGGGGCTACAACTTAGTTATATTAGTATAAAATTTGTAATGGGGATATGATATGAGACCCACCACCAAGTCTTGAGAGTGGCACTTTGAGAATGCCTCTGATTTGCAATATTGCTTTTTATTTACTATCTTGGCTTGGTGCTGGTGGGGAGGGCAATGGAGGGTGGGCATTTCACAAGGTTTTACTCGGCCTTTCCTACTATAGGAGCACTAACATCAATGCCAACTGCTAAGCAGGTCTATTCCAATACATATACAAGAATTAGAGGAAACAATCAATGGTTCAGTAAACCCAGAGAACTGACTGTGAAAAGAACCTAAGTCAGATCTCCATTTACTACCTGACCCTCTTATGCCCTGTTCTAACAGGGGGACCATGATGGCACTTTGGGTACATGGTTCTCAGTATCAACTCAGATCCTGTATCCATTAGCCCTCGAAAGATCTAGGCATTTCTGCTTCCCCAATAGGCTAGTAAATAAACATAGATCTCTTTGAGAGATAAGTGAGAGAATTAACACTTGATGTGGTGTTGAAGTCTTTCCTCATTGGGACCCAGCCTCTCATTCATTCACTGGGGTCTGGGTCTGAGAATTTGCTCAGCTCTATAAATTTGGGAAAGGATTATGTCTTTCTGTTGAGGTGGCTGAACTCAGCCTTCTGCCAGTTCATACTTGATCACTTTGGAGTACACATGTTAGGCAATATTTTGTCGACTAGGAGCATCATGTTCTATTAGTTGTCTCCACAGAAGATTCCTGTAGGTCAGGCCCCCTTGTCTCCTATTCCAACCTCGCTGACCATTATAATTATACCCATCTTACTCTTGAGAGTTAAATGCTCCCCAACCCTTGATAGTCTGCGATCCTGTCCACCACACTGATACTGAGGAGCTCAATTTTGTAATGGTTTAGGCCAGCAGCCTACAGAGGGTACCCTGTCCTCTGCTGCTCAGTGATGCTGGTGGCCCCTCACCAGTTCATTCCTCACCGTCTTGAAAATGGACAAGGAATATAGTCAGCTGATGGGTTTTCCAGCCTTGCGTCTTACACCCATTCAAGCATGCCTAGTTCTTTGAGCCTTATAACCCATCCTCCCCAGCCTGCTACAGCAGCTCTGACAGCTCTGCTTCATTACTCTGGACCACAGCTTTCGCCAAGCATCTCGCAGGGCTCCGGGGCCCTTGCCAGGCTGCTAAATCCTTTATCACCGGTGACCCCAAACCAACAAACTCTCCTTACCTGATTTCATATTCTGTCCCCTTGATCTGGCACCCCTCACGATCCATGCCCAGCCATCCTCTCCCAGTTGCTACTTGTTCGTGTTAACCAGGTCCTTCTCGGAGATGCAGCCCTTTCCCATCAGATCATGCTGCAACTTGACCCTAATTATCAGGCAAGTGGTCAGGAGGGGCAGATCCTCAGGAATGCACACGTTTTCTTTTAAGGTACCTGCATCATTTGAGATTTCTGCCTTGTCTTCAAATGTGGCAGGGATAGAGGTGGGCGAGGATGGGGGGGGGGCTCTATGTTCGAATAAGTGTGAGTGGATTACTTCTGTAGTCCAAGAGTGCTCAGGAGAGCCTCAAGGTTCACGATTCTCATGTGCATCACCCATGCCTCAAGATCCCCCTGCTTCCCTGTGAAGGGAGGGGCTGACTTGGGCATAGGTGACTTACCCAGGCTGAGAACTCAGCCTTCCCTGAAGTTCCGCAGCTCTTCCAATTAAGTCTTGTGGCTGGTCTTGAGCTCTTCCTGCCCTCTCACTAAAGGAGATGAGTTTCTTTAAATGCTGCCAGGGAGCCCTTCTGATTCTCACACTTGACTCTAAGTTGCTGATCGATTACCCTGAGCCTGCCATCGTCTTTCATTAAATGCGAATGTTTTTAATGAAACATTTTTTTCATCAAAATGTTGCATAGAGATGAGTTTACATATATCTCCGTCTCATTTCTTATTTACCTGTCTCCCACGCAAGATTCTAAACCCTTCTGTGGCTGGGAATCTGTCCTATTCATATATGCATTTCTGATTCAGAGGTGGGGGTTGAATTGTTACTAAATGAACATTTGTCAAATGAAGAGCAGTTTGTGGTAGATCACAGAGCAACTTGAACTCCAGGCTAAGTAATTTGGGCATGATGCTCTTGGCAGTGAGAAAGCATTTGAAATGCTTGTTGGCAGCAGTGTGCGGTATGTATTGGACTAGCGAGATCACGGAGAGAACAGCCAAGAGACTGTTGCAGCAATACAGGCAGAAAGTAACAAGAGGCAGCATTCCGGTGGAGGCTGGAAGTGTCGAGAGGCAGATGCAAAAGTCATCAAGGAAGTATTATCTATAGGGTCCAGATGGCCCCAGGCTGACATCCAGCATTGAGACCGGCAGGGCTGCTAATCAATCAAGTGTGTGAGCAGTTTTGTACTTATGTGCCCCTAAGCAGATGGGAGAAGATCATTTCTCATATTTGCATGGAAGAAACATCTAAAAAAAAAAATCTGGGTGGGTTTTATCATTGTCATGCACAATTAGGCAAAATCCATGAAGTGTAGGCATGGGAATATTTTCTTGCCCTCCGTATTTTAGCCAGAACTCCACAGTCGGATCTGAGAAAAGCCAAGGTCACCAATGTGGAATCACTCAGTACATGACACGTGGAGTACATAATGTACTGGCCAGTGACAGTGCTTTCCAAGTGATTATTCTATACAGTAACATATGTTCCAAAGCCGCAGATTCAGCACGTTTTTCTCCGCTGTATGCTGGACTGTATCCTGGTTGGAATAATTTATTCGGGACTCAGATGGATCATATACACATCAAGAAACCCGTGGGGAAAAAAAAAGAAACCCGTGGGTTTTGTTTTTGTTTTTGTTTTTTTTCCCCGTGAACTCTTCCCAGCCTTTCACTCTAGGCAAAGTTGTGTTTATTCCTCTCTGGCCAGCTGCCTGCTGTTTCTGTCGTTCTCCGAGGGCTAGTTCCTGGGGTGCCTGTTACGTGGATGGGACCTGGATTTGCCAGGGTTCTCGCTGGGCCCGGCTTGAGATTTGCTGTGGGGAACATCCCCATTCCCATGGATTTTGCTGTTGCCATTCGCTATGAAGCTCAGGTACCCTTTACTCCACTTCCACGGTGGTGGTTCCGAGCTGACTGAAATACATTCTCGAGCTAAGCGTTTCCATTCCAATCTTGCCTATGTTCATCTTAACAGGATTTGCAAAAAGTCGAACATCTGGAGAGCATTATAAACCAAAGGGTTTCCTAAAGATATTAAAGCAACACAGCCATACGCACACACGCCTTATTCTGTGGAGAGAAGCTAAAGCTGGGGCTATAGATTTAAGATACTAGTTCTAGGGAAGTGGTGATGGAATGTTTGTATAAGGACAATAAATAACTAAAATAATGCAAATCCTGCCCTCCTGGGACTGTTTTTTCCTAAAAATGTAATAAACCTGTGTAGAGATTCAGACTCATAGGGATGAAGTACAGGCATTTATTTGCACTTGGATTTTACCAGGAAACAAGAGAAAAGCTAAAGGCAGCCTGCACTTCTTGCCTGCTACCTTTCTAGCCTTCCCCCACCCTTTGAGAAATATCTAAGAGGAAGAGAAACCAAATTAGAAAAACACTTGACCTAGAGCAGGGGCTCCTAACCCTTTCTTTGTATAACCTTTTCTTTGATGATCGGAAACCCCACAGACCATCTGCCCTGGAAAATATTTTATATGGCTGGGGGTGGCCTCAGAGCCCCCAAAGTCTCTCTAGGGACCATGTTCTGGAAGGGCTCACTTTCTATGGTATGACCAGAGCTGATGATCTGCTTTGAAACTCTTAACATGACATTGTTCTCAATTTCTCACTTACACGTGAAAGGCAAAGGACTTCAGGGGAATTTGACCTGGTGAGTATGACAAAGTCATTTTTTTTTTTACATATGTGTATATACACATAAATATATTTAATTTTTGTATAGAGAGAACACATCTCTGATAGCTTTAAAAAGCTTTTCCTAATTGTAAGGCTTCCAGAGTTTAGGTAATTAGCATATGCGCTCGCTCTCTCTCGCTCGCTCGCTCGCTCGCTGTCTATCTATATATATGTGTGTGTGTATGTCTCTGTATATATGTATGTATTTATACAGATATGTATAAATAGATCTAATAATATAATAAATAATATAAACTTACATAATAATGTATATGCACTAATATGAAAGAAATACATCTTTTTGTGAAGGATTTTTTTGTTTCTGTGATCCAGGAACATGATTTTTTTTTAAATATCTTTATTGGAGTATAATTGCTTTACAAAGTTGTGTTAGTTTCTGTTGTACAACAAAGTGAATCAGCTATAAGTATACATATATCCCCATATTCCCTCCCTCTTGAACCTCCCTCCCACCCTCCTTATCCCACCCCTCTAGGTGGTCACAAAGCACCGAGCTGATCTCCCTGTGCTATGCGGCTGCTTCCCACTAGCTGTCTATTTTACATTCGGTAGTGTATATATGTCCATGCCTCTCTCTCACTTCGTCCCAGCTTACCCTTCCCCCTCCCTGTGTCCTCAAGTCCATTCTCTACATCTGTGTCCTTATTCCTACCCTGCTACTAGGTTCATCAGTACCGTGTTTTTAGGTTCCATATATGTGCATTGGCATACGGTATTTGTTTTTCTCTTTCTGACTTACTTCACTCTGTATGACAGACTCTAGGTCCATCCACCTCATTACAAATAACTCAATTTCATTCTTTTTTATGGCTGAGTAATATTCTATTGTATATATGTGCCACATCTTCTTTATCCATTCATCTGTTGATGGGTATTTAGGTTGCTTCCATGTCCTGCCTATTGTAAATAGAGCTGCAGTGAACCTTGTGGTTCATGACTCTTTCTGAATTATGGTTTTCTCAGGGTATATGCCCAGTAATGGGGTTGCTGGGTCATATGGTAGTTCTATTTGTAGTTTTTTAAGGAACCTCCATACCATTCTCCATAGTGGCTGTATCAATTTGCATTCCCACCAACAATGCAAGAGTGTTCCCTTTTCTCCATACCCTCTCCAGCATTTATTGTTTGTAGATTTTTCGATGATGGCCATTCTGACTGGTGTGAGGTGATACCTCATTGAAGATTTGATTTGCATTTCTCTAATGATTAGTGATGTTGAGCATCCTTTCATGTGTTTGTTGGCAGTCTGTATATCTTCTTTGGAGAAATGTCTATTTAGGTCTTCTGCCCAGTTTTGGATTGGGTTGTTTGTTTTTTTGATATGGAGCTACATGATCTGCTTATACATTTTGGAGATTAATCCTTTGTCAGTTGCTTCATTTGCAAGTGTTTTCTCTCATTCTGAGGATTGTCTTTTCATCTTGTTTACGGTTTCCTTTGCTGTGCAAAAGCTTTTAAGTTTCATTAGGTCTCATTTGTTCATTTTTTATTTTATTTCCATGACTCTAGGAGGTGGCTCACAAAGATCTTGCTGTGATTTATGTCAAAGAGTGTTTTTTCCTATGTTTTCCTCTAAGAGTTTTATAGTGTCTAGCCTTACATTTAGGTCTTTAATCCATTTTGATTTTATTTTTGTGTATGGTGTTAGGAAGTCAGGAACATGATGATTTAATCGACTCTTTGGGAGACAGAGGTTAAAGATTAGACCTGTCAGGAGTGCCAGGGTTTTTCTCTAGACCCAGGAATTACATCTATGGCCAGAAACAACATTCTTTCTATCTGGATCACAATTCAAACACCAGAGAGTTGAGCCTGAGAACGAACCTCTTCTCTCAACTCCAAAATTCTGTTTTCTGAGCAGGCCGTGGGTTGCAAATTTATCCCGTGCACTCTCCATTAGGAATATGTTGGTGCATGCATCCTCGCAGGGACGTGTTCTTACGTGATGCCTTTCTAGTCTGCAGATGACTGGACTGTCCAGATGGTGGTTAACCTGGCCGGAGGGAGCGATCACAGTGCACGCGAGACCCCACGGCCAAAGCCTCAGCCTTTACCAGCAGCTTCCAGGTATGCGGGGGGCGTGTCCTCGAACGTTGAACGTTTCTTAGAATGTTGTTCATCTATCAGGAATTTGTATCCAGGAACTAAGTGAGAGTAGAGATGTATCAAAGGAGACATAATGTCTATTAAGTGTTTACTATGTGCTACGCTCTGCTTTACGTTCATACCGCGTTGAATCTTGCTAACAACTCAAGGAGGTAGGTTTTGTCTTCATCAGATGAGGGGGAAATTGAGAACGAGAACACTCTGAGGACTTGCCCAAGTCTTATAGCTAATGTGTAGAAGTACCAGAGCTCCAGCCCAGATATCCTGACCCTAGATCTTGAATGTTTGTTTCCCATTCCCCAGATGCCTGGAGATGTGAGAAAATGAAATGCTACGAGAATAAGAGGACAGTATTCAGCTTGAGTTATCTCAACAGCTGAGAGTCTAGTTTTGAGGCCACTAATTTTGCATTGGAGATTTGTGGCTGAATAAAACAGAGACCCTTTTGATATTAGCGTGGTAGATGGGATGAAGGACCTTTGCTCCATCCTTTTCCCAGAGCAGTCATGACAAATCACGGCCAGTTTCCAAAGCTTTGCTATTTGGCACAACCCTACGGAAGAGCCACAGAGAATCTCAGTGTGAACTGACTGTCCACCCAACGCACCTGAGCTGGTCTGGACCTCAACCCGGTCTCCATCCCACAGTGGCACCCACTTCACGGCACATGTGAAACACACCAAATATGATGGCCACTTAGCTTATATAACTGTACTTTTGTCACTGAATTTTTGCTTTATTTCTCTTAATACAGAATCATGCTGCTTCCCACACCCATCTGTTTAGAACCAGATGTACAATATTCCATAGATGTCTATTTTCCCCAGCCTTTGGAAGGAGAATTCCAGGCTCATTCACACATTGAATTGATTCTATAAGTATAACAGACTCTTGGGTGTGCTTCCTTCTGAAATGAGCTCCATTCTAATTCTAAAAGTAGGCTTGTACTTTGAAGTGTTTCATGAGAAATAGAAAAGTATTTGTTTCATTATAAAAATCACCTACTCTATGTAAAGGTCATCTAATAACAATGGCAAATCGTCCAGAATAGTATGTGCCAGCCATGGTTTGAAGTGTTTTCCATATTCTGTTAGTTAGACTTCACAACTACTCTATGAGTTAAGTACTGTCATTATTCCCATTTTACAGACGACAGAACTGAGGCACAGAGTCACAAAGCTAGAGAATGAGGAGTGAGAAATCAGAGCCAGGAGGCCTGATTCATGCATCCCTGCCTGGAGCCACTGCTGTGCACTGGCACTGCAGAAAGTCTGGGGAGAAATTCCACCAATCATTAATTATTATCAGCTTACAAGTTCCCATTTTTTGCATATTATGTTTTCATATCATTGTAATCAGAGTGCTTAGACAAGATTGTACATGGCTTTTTTTCACTTCCTATTATATCGTAAGTGTTTTCTTATTATGATTATGTAATCTCACCATCCTTAGGAAGCATGCATAGTATTTCCTTAAGTGGCTTCTTTCTTTAAAATTCATTTATTTTTGGCTGTGTTGGGTCTTTGTTGCTGTGCGTGGGCTTTCTCTAGTTGCGGCGAGCGGGGGCTACTCTTCGTTGCGGTGCGCGGGCTTCTCATTGCGGTGGCTTCTCTTGTTGCAGAGCACGGGCTCTAGGCACGTGGGCTTCAGTAGTTGTGGCTCACAAATTTGGGCCACAGGCATTCCTTCCAAACTCTCACTCTGGGCACAACTTCAGGCCCAGGCCTGTCCCTGGGCAGAGTTTGGACATTGAATAAATTTACTTCATGTACTTATCTATTCCCCTACTTGTGGTCATTTAAGTTGCTTCTATTTTTTCTACTCTGCGTAGTTGGTATATTTTTTAAACATTTGAAAATACAGTCCTACTTTACCCAGGGTTTTATGGTTCTTGAAATAATGTGTCATATTAATTTCTGGAAGGTATTAATTAATTTATATGTCAGTTAATTTTCAGGATCATCAATAATTTATGAAAGTGCCAATTTCATTCCACCTTTAGCAGAATTGTAGAGAATTGTGTGGGACTTTTCTAAAGTACTTTTGTGGATAAAATGGAATTGCTTTGTTAAAATTGCATTTTTAAACATTTGTAACAATCTTCTAATATTGTGATTTAATTAGCAAACTACGGCCCTATGAAGTTTTATTGGAACACAGCCACGCCCATACATTTACATACTATCTACACTGCTTTCAAGCTACAAAGACACCTATTTGCAAGAGACCTTATGACCGCAAAGCTCAAAATATTTATTCTCTGGCCTTTTATAGGAAGTTTGTCAACCCCTGATTTAATGAACTATATCCACATTTTGTGTATTGTGTCTTTTAAGTTCAATTTTTAACTATTGAACCTTTTTAATTTATACCCTAGAACGTTTTAATTTCATCATCTACTATAGAATTTAGTATGAGGCAGGTATATCTTAGATTTTATTCAATAAATAAGCCATTATTTTAAGATTATTTTACCAAAGGTGAGGTTGCAAGATATAGGAAAGGAAGGAAGGAAAGAGAGGGAGGGAGGGAGGAAAGGAAGATACAGGGTACCCAGTTAAATTTGAATATCATAAAAATATGTCCCAAATATTGCCCTAAAATATTACATTATACATACTAAAAAATTATTCATTGTTTCTCTGAAATTCAATAGAATTGAAGTGGAAAGTAGAAACCAACTCTTGAATGGGAAATGTAAACTATCATGATTTCCCTATCCATATAATTCATATTCTCTACCGAGGAGCTTTAAATAGAACCGTGCTCATGACCAACGTGTGAGTTACAAAGAAAGAGACTCAAATCCAACAGGTTTAATTCAGGAAAAAAAGCTAAACCCAGGCAGAGTAAAGAAAGGGAAAGGAAGAAAATAAGGATTCCTAATCACCAAGGGATGTTATTATTGTATCATAACAGTCATGAAACTCAAATTTATGAGAGCCAAGTACTCCTCCTTTTAAATCCATGTCCTAAATATTTCTAAACTTTGTAAATTCCAAAGATAATCACTGGATGCTGTGTTAGATGCATCCATCCAAATTGTCCATTCATCACCCCTTCTCTGAGGGTATGTGGGCCAGGCACTGTGCTGGTTCCTGGGGATTGGGGGTAAAATCTGGTTCTTGCCCTCAAGGCGTCCTCAGCCTGACACAGAAGACAGGCGTGTAAACAAAATCATTGCAATGATGTTTGCTGCAGAATATAAATGGATAATTTGAAATGAACTTAAAATATGTCCATTTGGTCAATTATCAAGCAACCGTTCTCCTTATATATAGCCATGAAAACCCTGAAACCAAAATAGAAATTAAGAGAGCAACCCGATCTTGGCAAACTGTCCAAAATCCCAGAAGAGGCCCTAGCTCCGCAGTTGAGGTCAGATTTCCTACAAGCAGGGACTCAGGTTGGCCTGGGTTATTGAGGGCATGCTTGCGGGGGGAAGGAGCCCGGCAAGGATGTGGTCGCCAGGGGGCCCTGGAGCATGAATTGCACCACAGGGTTGGTTCCACCTGGAGGCGAAGGGGTGGGGCCTTGTGTGCCCACATCATCATCGGCTACAGGCTCCCTACCCCACTCCCCAACCCCCCAGAGAGCGCACTCACTTGGCTAGGTCCAATTTTCTGGAGAAGGGGACAGCTGTGAGCTTTTAGCAGCCAGTGCCACAGCAGCTGGTGGATGGCAGGATCCAGGCAGGGCACCTGCAGTGAACCCTAGAGTCCCTGACCCAGGATGGCAGTAGGAGAAAGTCGTTACACATTTTATGATTCCAGCCTAAAGCAGTTTTGCTGCTTTGGGAAGATACTCGATTGTTTGGAACTGACCCTTTCAAAGTTCATTCTTCTCTGCAGCCAGATTAACATTTGCATCTGAGAGTGAGATGCATTACCAAGAAGACCAGAGGAAAGCTTTGTTCAGCCTTCTGCACAAGTATCTTTTGTTTGGCAGGCATAGTGAGATGGTTGAGGTTTTTTTCAGTCGCCCTGATTACATGATATGTGTGCCCATAAAAATGTGCTGAGAGTCAAATATAAATTATGCATTCTAGAACATAAAACTGCCATTCTTCTTTTAAACCATGGGTTGGATGACACTTGGTAAACATAAAGCCCCTAAAAGTTTCTAGGAGAAGTGAGTCATGGCATTACAAAATCCTGTCGCTGATAGACAGGGACTCTTGTCATCTGCTCTGTCGTCTTGGTGCCAGGAATGGCCAACTCTAAACCGGCTGAGACCAAGAACTGTAAACAATTTGTCCTTGATTGCCTGCCCTCACCACCAAGCCTAGCCCATCTGGCTTCCTTCTAGATGTCACCCTGCTTGGTTTGTGTTTGGAGAATGCAGAGTCATTTTAGTATCAAAGATACAATACTAGGAATGTATGTATACTTCTTTACTGCACAATTTTTTTTTTTTTTTTTTTTTTGTGGTACACGGGCCTCTCACTGTTGTGGCCTCTCCCGTTGCGGAGCGCAGGCTCTGGACGCGCAGGCTCAGCGGCCATGGCTCACCGGCCCAGCCGCTCTGCGGCATGTGGGATCTTCCCAGACCGGGTCACGAACCTGTGTCCCCTGCATCGGCAGGCGGACTCTAACCACTGCGCCACCAGGGAAGCCCTACTGCACAATTTTTAGTAAGCATTTACTGTAAATTAACCACTTGGGCAGGCACAGGGTAAACGAGACCAACACCTTCCCTGCCCCGCCAGGGCTGATGCTCTAAAGGGGAGATGCAGGCAGTTACACAGGAAATGACAACACAGTGTGACAGATACTGGAAACTGTGACAGGTCATTTGGTGTGGCTCGGACAGTGGCTCTCAATGTCATCTGACACAACCTTCCTTTTTTTTTTTTTTCCTCCCCCCTTGAACCCACTCTCTTGTAATTGAGATCACACGCCTGGTCTCAGGACTTGCTGCAGCTCAGGCTCTTCATGTCTCTTTGCGGAAAGAATGTAGTGAGAGACAAAGTGATTGGTTAGAAGTAGATTTATTTAGAGTGGTACACATTCCATAGACAGGAGGCAGTCCATCTCAAAAGGCAAGAGCAGCCCCAGGGCATGGAGTCGTCTTGGAAAGTGAGAGCGGCCCTGGGAGAGAAACACTCCACGGACTGTGGGCCATCTCAGAAGTCTAGCGGCCCCAGCCTTCCCTTTTTATTACAAATATTGATTAGTTTGTAACCCTCTTTCCTACCCTGCAATGAAATTCACAGGCATTAGAGCCTACCTGCACACATAACTTCCAAATAATATCAATGTTATGTGCAAACACAATAAAAGGGAAGTAATTTATGAGGAAATAATATGTACTTCAATACATACGTGTACCAACATGAACACACCGGGAGTCATACTGAAGTACAGAGATGCTCAAACACATAGATTCACTACATACGAGATAGCCATGCAAGCAGGTGTGTTGTAAACATGTTTATCGTGTTTTAAAAACACAGAGTAAGGTTTTCAACTCATCATCGTAAGCACGGAATCCTCCTTCATGGATGTTCAGTGAAATATTCAAAAGCTGTCGGAGGCATGCGATGATCTTCCTTGTTGTGAGAATGTCTAGCATGTCTGATCCCCACCCACTAAATGCCAGTAACACACCTCACCTAGTAGCCATGACAACCAAAAACACCCTTTGGAATTTCTAAAATGCTCCCTGGGGGTGAGTACCTCTCATATTGAGAACCACTGAGCTGAGAGGTTGGGGGGTAGCAGAATGGAAACTGAATCACTGGGCTGTACACCTGAAACTAACACATTGTAAATCAACTATACTTCAGTAACAACAGTGTCTTTCTTGCAGTATTTCTCAGAGGTTTAATACGTTAATCTGTACTGTGAACCTCCAGGAGGCAGAGAGTTTGATGTAGAACAGCACTGTTCATATGTAACTGAAAAAGATAAAACTTTCTAAAGGAGAGTTTTAGAGTTCCACAGTAATACTACAGAATGTAACGTCTAAGCCATAATTTCTTTCTTTATTGGAGTATAATTGCTTTACAATGGTGTTAGTTTCTGCTTTATAACAAAGTGAATCATCTATACATACACATATATCCCCATATCTCCTCCCTCTTGCGTCTCCCTCCCACCCTCCCTATCCCACCCCTGTAGGGGGTCACAAAGCACCAAGCTGATCTCCCTGTGCTATGTGTAAGCCATAATTTCTTAATCTATCACAAGTAGCCTAGTTAAAACTCTTTCAAATCTAAGACAAATTGATTAACAAGTAAAAAATATAGTAATAAAAAGATAAAACCTTATTTTCTTTGCCATAAGTCAATAAATGTAAATATTTAAAGATTTCTTAACTAAATTGAAAATCTTAAAATCTTTAGTCATATGCAATTGAAAGGATGAAATTGAGTCTCTTTTCAACCATGATTCTCACAGATCTAATTTTTTTTTTTTTTAATAACTGGAATCTTGAATAGGGGACAGTTTTGAACGTAAGTCTTCTTTTCTCATTATTTCAAAAGGTTCATCTTATTCCCCAAATCAACTCATTGGAGAATTTCTGCAGCAAGCAGGATTTAGATGAATATCGCCTGCACAACTGTGTTGAAATTGCCTCGGTAATGGGACCTCAGGTGCTCCCTGGAGCATGTGAAAGGCTTATAGCCAGTTTGTCTGCCAGGCTGCACAACGGGGCCATGGGTGAGTGTCTGTTAGGTATTTTTTATTTAAATAGAAATTGCCTTAGTATGCACGTATGTATGTATGTATTTATGTATTTAGCTGTGTTGGGTCTTCGTTGCTGCGAGCGGGCTTTCTCTAGTTGCAGCGAGCGGGGGCTACTCTTCGTTGCGGTGCGTGGGCTTCTCATTGTGGTGGCTTCTGTTGTTGCGGAGCACGGGCTCTAGGCCTGTGGGCTTCAGTAGTTGTGGCTTGCAGGCTCAGTAGTTGTGGTGCATGGGTTCTAGGGCGTGTGGGCTTCAGTAGTTGCAACACGTGGGCTCAGTAGTTGTGGCGCACAGGCTTAGTTGCTCTGCGGCATGTGGGATCTTCCCGGACCAGGGGTCGAACCCGTGTCCCTGCATTGGCAGGTGGATTCTTAACCACTGCGCCACCAGGGAAGTCCCTGAGTATCTGTTTAATGGGCTCCACCGAATCGCCGCTATCTGTGCAAAGGCTTTTAGGAACATGAGTGAAATGATTTAATATATTTTAGTATCTACTCCTACCAGCCGATGTAGATACCAGCTGCCCGATGATTAGGTACACAGAGCAGTCTGTCCATGTGTTGGAATCATAGCTCGCGGTACAAGAAGTGTATAAAAGAGGAGCCTGGCAGTCGCTTGGGGATGCCAGATTCCTGGAACAATGGTGCTAAAATATTTCTTTGGAATCCTGGAATGAACTTTAAACAACTTCTTTCATCCCTAAACCTTCATTTAATAAATGAGACTGTTGGGTTCAAAACATTAGGTAACTTGCCCATTTCGCTGAGTGGGTTTCTCACCCTCAGCACTTTTAAAATTTAGGGCTGGGTAATAGTACATTGGGGAGAGGTTGCTGTCCTGTGCATGGTAGGATGTTTAGCACCATCCCTACCCTCTAACCACCTGATACCAGTAGCACCCTCCCCTCAGTTGTGACATCCAAAAATGTCCCCAAACTTTGTCGTATGTCCCCTGGGGGGCAAAATCTCCCCCTAGTTGAGAATCACTGCTATAGCGTGACAGCTACTGTGAGAGTCTGGGCTTCCCAAGTTCCAGACAGATGCTTTCTCCATGCAGGACTCTGGCTTTTGGGATGCCTGCAATCTCATGAAAGATATGGAACAAGGGAAATGAAAGGTATAATCCAGCACCAACACAGATTATCAGGAATGGAAGAAATAATTACATTGGAACAATTAATGATTGAAGCAATTTATTTTAAGCCTTTCAATAACTTGTTAAGTAATGTTCATTGCTAAGTGATGTTTGTTAAGTGTCGTTTATTGAGCACTTACAGGTGCCAAACATTATTCTAAGTACTTCACAAGCATGATTGTCTTCAATCCTTATATCCCCAGGAGGTATATCATATATTATCCCCAGTTAACAGATGAGGGAGTTAAGGATTAGAGGTAACTAATGAGAAAGACATAAACTAGTGCTACTAATAGGGTGGAGTGCTTCTCTGTCACTTCCTTTGCCTCTAACTTGTTTTGTCCCCTGCAGCCTGCAACTGTCACCCACAGGGCTCAGTGGGACCCAACTGCAGCTGACTGGAAGGCCAGTGCCAGTGTAAGCCTCGTGTGACCGGCCGCTGCTGTGACACGTGCTCAACAGGAAGCTACAGTTTGGGGCATCACGGCTGTCACTGTATGTAGCAAAAGCCAGATGGGAGAAACACACGTGTTTTCAACCTTGGAGTTTTAAAGGCAGGAAAATCAATGTGGGGAGTTGAAAAGGGGAGGGATTAGGAATTTGGCTTCATTATTCAGATTGTCTTGTCTGTGTAGATAAAATATACTGAAAGTTTTTCTGCTGTACTTTATTCTTCCATTCAGTGGGCACTGACTGTGTACAGAGCTCTATTAGGAAACATGAGTGATGATAAAAAAAACATGGTCCATGTTTCAGGGAGTTTTCAGTTTGTATCAGGTAGATGGTAGTCCAGGGAGGATGTGTGGACACCACGGAGTTGGCTTGTAAACCCAGCTTTAACATCTCGTGTATAAGCCCGGTGGCTGGAAAGGCTAAAACAATGAGATTGGGATGTGAAGAAAAGAGGACCCTCCTACACTGTTGGTGGGAATGTAAATTGGTGCAGCCACTATGGAAAACAGTATGGAGGTTCCTCAAAAAATGTAAAAGAACTACCATATGATCCAGCAGTTTTGCTTCTGGGTATTTATCTGAAGAAAATGAAAACACTAACACGAAAAGATATTTGCACTATCATGTTCATTGCAGCATTATTTACAATAGCCAAGATACGGAAACAATCTAAGTTTCTACCACCAGATGAATGATTACAGAAAATGTGGTATATACATGCAATGGAGTACTGTTTAGCCATAAAAACAAAGAGGATATTGCCAGTTGTGACAACATGGATAAGCCTTGAGTGCAGTATGCTAAGTGAATAAGTCAGAGAAAGACAAATACTGGATAATCTCACTTACATGTGGAATCTAAGATGAACAAAAAACAAAAAAACAAGCCCATAGGTATAGAGCACCAATAGACTGGTGTTTGCCAGCGGCAAGGGGGGTGGTGAGCGAAATGAGTGAAGGGGGTCAAAAGGTACAAACTTCCAGTTATAGAATAAATAAGTCATGGGGATGTAATGTACAGCATGGCTATTATAGTTAATAATACTGTATTGTATATTTGAAAGTTGCTAAGAGAATAGATTTTAAAAGTTCTTATCAGAAGAAAAAAAATTGTAACTATGGTGGTGGATGTTAACTAGACTTACAGTGGTGACCATTTTGCAATATATACAAATATTGAATCATTATGTGGTACACTTGAAACTAATATAATGTCGAATGTCAGTTATACCTCAAAAAAAACCAGTTGTCCACAACATTCTGTTGATTGAATCCGTGGATTCTTATTTAACAAATATTTTTACCTGGTTCTCTGTACATGCCAGGCTCTATTCTAAGCACTGTATAGACTCAGTTTATTCACCTTGATAGGGTTGAGACGGTAAATTAGAGATTGTGAAATCAGAACTGTGACTCTTTCACCAGCACACCACTGCCCCCACTCCGACCCCAACAGGCTTCTCTTTGCTTTATCCAGCATGTCACTGCCACCCTCAAGGCTCACAGAACACTGTAACAGGACGACCTGTGACCAAGTAACAGGACGGTGCCCCTGCCACGGAGAGGTAGCTGGCTGCTATTGTGATCGGTGCCTGGAGGGCTCTTCTGGATTTCCTAACTGCCGCCCCTGCCTTTGTAATGGGTTCACTGTCATGCTTCAGTTGTGGAGGTTTTACAACTGGGAGAAACTGTGAAAGGTATGGAATTCATATGCACTCTTATTTTTTGTTCTTTTGCTCTGACTTCACAACATTATCTGAAGGACCATTGAGTAGAGAATCAACAGTATTTAAGTGTAGAGTGATGACTATGGGCGAGGAAGATAGAGCGTCAGTTTATCGTCCTTCAAAATCTTGTTATGAGCCAAGCAGTGTCTAAGTAAATCAATAACAGGCATTTGCCTGGCACCTTTTTATATTCCTAAAATGTGCATGTAAATTAGGTGCTTTTATATTGAGTTTAATGACTAAGCCATGGAACTTCCAATATGAAGCAAAAAAACCCTTTTATAGAGCAAATGAGCATCTTCTAAAAATATTGAATTTTGAGAGTTGCACTGTCCTAAAGCACAGGAAATCCACATTGGCTAATGTGAGCTGTTCCTGGTAACATTTTAGTAAAAAGTTGCCTTGACAGATGCATCGATGGTTACTATGGAAATCCTTCTTCAGGACAGTCCTGCTGTCCTTGCCCGTGTCCAGATGTTCCCTCAAGCAATCAGCATTTTGCCCATTCCTGTTATCAGAGTCCTTGGAGCTCAGATGCAATCTGCAATTGTCTTCAAGGTTAAGCAGGTATGCAGTATAGTTCATGATGTTTTTTTCTTATCCTACATTGCTATCTAAAAAATGATAACATGTTCATAGTTTATCTGCCTTGGACAAATGAGTGGTACAGGATATAAGTTAATGGTAAGAGGACACAATTTGGTAAATTGCTGCTTTACTGAATAAAGAATTTGAATGATTCAAAACCAATGACAAAAGATCATTTCACTGAGCTATAATTGTTTTTAAATAATATTCTAGAAAACTGACCAAATGAGTTCAGATCAAATTAATTTTTTAAAATAAAATAGTGGTTCATTAAGATACATATGTGATTAAATTATATATGTATATATAAACATATAACTTAGAATTAATCAGTCAAATGCTTTCTTTATATAATTCCAAGTAATCAATTTGACTGGTATTTCACAGATATAACTGATTTTTTCAGATGTTTTGAAGCACTAGTTTGGGCATTATACAGATACTGCCTAAATTAATTCAATATTTGTGTCTGTCCCTCAATCAAAAATTTTATTTTGAAGAGTTTAAGCATGAGTGTAAACATGTAGTGTAAACAAGGAAAAAAATTATAAAGTCTACTTGATTGAATCATAATAGAAAATATGGCATTATTATTTTCTTCAGTGATAATTAACATCATGATAAATTACATGGCCATTTTTTTTTCTTATTTGTTACCTCTAAGGTTACACGAGTCTCTAGTTAATTCTTATAGCCTCTTCTCCATGTGCACTCTGGCTTGGTTGGTCAATTGTTAATAACTGAGACCACAGTTGGGCTATGAGACCATTTCTAAATGGAATGAACCAAAACATGGAAGTTGGACCCGTGATTTGGGCACCTAAACAATGGCAGTTGCCCCATGATTGAAAGAGTGTAGAGTGTAGGAGAGATGGGAATGGTTTCTCCATCATCCTTAATGGAGACACCCTCAAGGTGTCTTAATAAAGGTTAGTACAAAAATACCCTGGAGGGCCCACACATCAAGACAATTACTCACCCCTCTTCACTTCCAGGCACATTATCTCAGGCTGCTGCTGTTTCACCTCTAGGACCAGATGAGGGTTGGGGTGCCCCCCCGCCTCAGAAAACGGGCTGAGGTTAGCTTTGGGTCTGGAGGCATTTTTGGGTGATCCTGGTTATATGATGACCCAGGAATCCTGCACTCACAAATCTGTAGTATTTTAAGAAAGAGTCCATCCTTCACCAAGGACTTTTAAAATCCAAATAATCTTTTATTCTCTGAATGGATAATAAATTTAAATGAATGTTTTGTTTTAAGTTAGAGCACTTTTCCTTTTTCTCCCAAATGCGTGACCTCTCATTAACCCCGGAGGAGTCCAGTTATCCACGTCACTCTCCGTATCCCTCCCCAAGCACATACACGCGCGCGCGCCCCCCTCATCTCATTCCCTTTTCCTCTCCCCTTCTTTCTGGTGTGCAGTGTGGAGAACGCTCTGCTGGTTTCTATGGAAATCCAAGAATTTCGGGAGCCGCCTGTGGACCTTGTGCCTGCAACAGCACGTTGATGTAACTGATCCAGAGTCCTGCAGCCCAGTCACGGGGGAGGACCTTAAATGTCTGCACAACACTCAAGGCCCCAGCTGCCAGCTCTGCAGGCCAGGTTACTTTGACCCTCGATCAGACCTGTAGGAGGAAGTCTGCAAAGCTCCCTGGGGGGCGGGGGCAGCACGTGGCAGCTCGTAACTGTGGTGGCAACTCCCGTACTTATTTCAGTTAGGTCAGTAGTGCCAGTGCCCCCGGGGTGGTGGGCTGATGTCCTGAACTCGGCAGCAGAAACAGGTGCAGTGCACGTGAACTGCAGAGTACTCACTGGTGTTATTAGTTTGCCTTTTGTGACTGTTTTCTTCAACACGTGCCTTAGTGGGTTCGGAGCCTTGTTTCTCAGAGTGTGGACTACGATGCACTGTACCAGAGCCGCCTGGGGATGGCGGAGTGTGGTATCAATATGCAGATTCCTGGGCTGTGCCTCAGACCCACAGAATTGAACCTCTGGGAGCCGGGCCCAGGAATCTGCCTTGTAACCGGCTCATCAAGTGACTTTAATGTATAAATAGGAGAATCACTGATGTAGAAGAGGACAAGGGTTTAATACCATGATAAAGGGGAGGAATATACTCCTCATTTTTAGGAGATATTTTAATTATTTCAGTTCACCCAAGTCAGTTTGTTTCTGGATTGTTGACATAAGTGGAACTTTGGTGAGTGGCGTGAGGAAAAAGTGAGACTTTCATTTATCCTAATTGTGAGCTCTTGGAATGTAGTAGTAGGTAGAACCATAGGAAATTGCATTTTGGGGAGATCAAAACCAGTTGAGTGGGTTCAACCTACTTAGATTCCTTGATAAGTTCTGTTCTATTGCAGGATGTTTATTCCTTGAGCCTTTTAAAGAAACGATGCCTCCACTCTAGAAAGTTGTTTGCAGGGGTTGTTGATGCCAGCGTTATCACGGATTTACCCCCCAACGACGGCTCTGTGCTCCCAGGGTGTTCCTGTCATCCTTCCGGCGTGAGTCCCTCTGAGTGTCCCCCTGGTGGAGGAGCTTGCCTCTGTGACGCTGACACCGGCACACGCCCTTGTATGCCCAACGTCACAGGCCGGGCCTGTGACCATCGTGCTGATGGATGCTGGAATGTCATCGCCGGCAGACGATGTCAGCCATGGGATCGTGAGCCCTGGACCTCACTCAGTAGACACTGTGACCAGGCAAGGGACTTTCAGTTTCCTGTGGTGTCAAAGTGAGATGTGATGGGGAGACATGCTTTCTAAATACGTAAAGAATGTTTTCTTTACATACTGCTGTTAGTCAGTGTTTTTAGATAGGATTGGACTTACATGGGGATAGAGTCTGCATTTATCAAGGAATGAAACCCAGAGCACCCTCTCTTTCACTGTTTCACATGTATAAGCATAGGCAGGCCCCTAGAAATCCATCATTAATCGGAATTGATTATGAATCAGAATGAAAGTTAACGGGTTCCTTCAGGATCCATAATTCCATTTAAAAAAATCAAGCTGTTATTCCCTGCAGCTCACCAATTGCTTTACATATGGTTAAATAAGATGTCTTCTTATCTAATTTATCTTATAGTTACCAGACCAGCAGCAATTGTTTCTAAAGAATGCAGCCTAGGAGCAAATCTTTATTGTTTAATATACAGTTAACACTACTTAGCTGCACATGTGATTTTCAGTCAAAACAATGAGCATGAAATTTTTTTAAAAGAATATTAACATTATTTATGGAGAAAACAATGTCATTATTAGGCTTTTTTGGTTTGATAAATGTATTCTTTGAAACACTTTTACATTAGTAGAGAGGCAGGAAGAAGGATAAAACAATGACAAGAAATTTTAGAGTCCAATCCACAATACAGGGATTAGGGTTTAATTGGAATCAAAATGCTCATTTCAGAAGCTGGAATCTTCCTGACTAATAAGTATGGCTCACCTCCAATTTCAGCTCCACTGTTCAACTTATTCAAAGGCCAAATTTTGTACAAGTCAACTTTTGAAGGTAGTTCTTATATGTTGAATGTGTTTTCCCTTCTCTTTTTCTTTCTCTCTCCAACCCTCCCTGCTCCAACCCATACCCACACAAATGCACACAATGGCCTTTTTTCCCTTCATAAATGTTTATATTAGAATAGGCTTAGGTTTACAGAAAAGCTGTGAACATAGAGAAGAGGTACCCCACACCCAGTTTCCTCTGTTATTCATGTTTACATTAGTGTGGAACATTTGTCCTTAATGAACCAGTGTTGATACATTATCAGTAACTAGTGTCCATAATTTATTCAGATGTCCTTAGTTTTTTTTACCTAATATCTTTTTTCTGTTCCAAGACCTCATCCAGTACGCCACATTACATTTAGTCATCATGATTCCTCAAGTGCCTCTTGGTTGTGACAGTTTCTTAGACTTTCCTTATTTTTGATGACCTTAACAGTTTTGAGGAGTGTTTTGTAAAATGTCCCTCAATTCAAATTTATCTGATGTTTTCCTCATGATGAGACTTGGATTTTGGGTTTTGAGAAGAAGACCATAGAGGTAAAGCGCTATTCTCATCACATCAAGGGTACATACCATTTACACGACTGATCACTGTTGACCTGAATCTTGATCAACTGGCTGAAGCAGTGTGTGTCATTTCTCTACTGTAAAGCAACCCTTCTCCTTTTCATACTGTACTCCTTGGGGGGAAGTCACTAAACAGTCCACATTTAAGGAATGGACAGTTATGCTCTGTCTCTTTGAGGGCAGAGTATCTCCATAAATTATTTGGAATTCTTCTGCGCTGGAGTTTTGTCTGTTGTCCCCCATTTCTTCATTTTTTTCAATCATTTTTTTTAATGAACTTATTTATTTTTGGCTGCTTTGGGTCTTCATTGCTGCACGTGGGCTTTCTCTAGTTGCCGTGAGTGGTGGCTACTCTTCTTTGTGGTGCGCGGGCTTCTCTTTGCAGTGGCTTCTCTTGCTGTGGAGCTCGGGCTGTAGGCGTGTGGGCTTTGGTAGTTGTGGCGCAGGGGCTTGGTAGTTGTGGCGCAGGGGCTCAGTAGTTGTGGTTCGCGGGCTCTAGAGCGCAGGCTCAGTAGTTGTGGCACATGGGCTTAGTTGCTCCACGGCATGTGGGATCTTCCTGGACCAGGGATCGAACCCATGTCCCCTGCACTGGCAGGCGGATTCTTAACCACTGCACCACCAGGGAAGTCCCTCAATCATTTTTTAATAACCACTGTGCCACCAGGGAAGTCCCTCAATCATTTTTTAATATCAGTGGACTCAGGATATTTGTACTATGTTTTGAGTTATAATCCAGCACTCCTTAATTTTGTTATTCAAGTTTTTCCAGCTTTGGTCATGGGGAGCTCTTTCAGTTGGCTTCTGTGTGCATTTGACATATTATTTTTTGTTTGTTTGTTTTTAAGTACTTCCTTTCTGCACTGCAAGATGCTCTAAGCTCATCTTGTGTATTTCCTGCCCCATCCTAGAATCAGCCATTTCTTTAAGGAGGGCTGGTTCCTTTTATTGGAGAATGGTATTAGAAACCAAGATCTGGGCACTAGAGGACCGTGCCTCATTTATATGCTTCTCTTCACTCCTCACACCTGCAGCCACCAACCATGGAACAAATTGGTGGATCTCTACACACTGCATGGCTTCCTCATTCATGAGGAACTCCTAATGCTCATGACATCACTGTCTGGCATACTTCTTAGACCTTTGGGGAAGCATATTTGTAGCAGGACTTGACAGAGACAACAGTTCAGTCATGGAGGCTAAGGGAAATCTACAGAACTGAAAAGCAGATGGTGTTGGTTTAACCAAAGACCCCCCTTATGACAAGGGTATTTGGGGTCATCTGGTCCATAGGGGATTCCTTGGGAAAGTTTGCTCTTTACAATCAGGAAACACTTTCATTGGAGTATAGAAGAGACATGTGGACATTTAGATTTCCAGCTGTTTAAACAACTACTGATAAATGTCTCTATGTCAGCCAGTAGGTGGTCCCTAGTGCATTCTCACAGAGAGATCCAAATGTGCTGTCCAATATTTTCATCAACAGTTTAGATGGAGTTGGGGAAACATGCTTATCAAATTTGCAGATATTATAAAGTTATAAGTTAATGTGATCAAGACAAAACAAGAGACAAGATATTTTAACAGCCTGTCTTGTTGGCTGGCAACAAGAAGATGACGTGTCCATGGGTTAAAAATAAAGTTTTGCAATTGGGTTTTTTTAAATCCATTGCATAAATACAGGGTGGGAGTAATAAGTTGGCGCTAGCTTGTGAGAAAAACATCTGAGGGATTTTGGTTGCATGCTTCAAGTGAGCCAGTAGTGTGGCTGGGCTGCCAAAGAGGGGATTGTGTGTGCCGTGCCCAGCTCCAGGGCGGCCGTTGTCCTATTGTCTTCTGTGTGGCCAGATGGCTTCCAGGAACATTGTTCTCATTTCTGAGTATCATATTTTAAACGTTGTATTGACAAACTAGTATGTGTCCAAAGGAAGACAACAAGGATAATGGATAGAATCATGTATTTTGTGATGAAGTCTTAGGGGTGCTTGGCTTAAAGAAATGAAGCATATACAAGTTGAGGATGGCCACCTCTAGTTGGGAGATGGACTGTAAGTGGGAAGAGGGAGGCTGCCTGTTTTGTGCAATTTCCTTATACTGGACTCAGAACAATGGGAACAAGTTACAGGAGCAGATTCTGCATCAGTGTAAGACAGCATTGCCCAACAAAGACAATATCGCAACAAGCTCCCATAACTCCTTGTATTTGAGTAGAAGCCAGTGGTTCCTCCAAAAATGGGTAGAAGCTCAGTAGGCCCAGTCACTTTATGAATCCAGCTACTTCTGGAGTTGTTGTTGGGTAAGCAGCTTTGGTCAGGTATAACCTAGGACCACAACAATAGTGATTTGATTTTATATTTTTCTCCTGTTAGTTTTCCAGTCTCCTTGGTGTTCAGAAAAGCTTTTCAAGAATCCAGTTGGGGGAATTCCCTGGTAATCCAGTGGTTAGGACTCCTCACTTCCACACTGCAGGGGGCATGGGTTCGTTCCCTCCCTGGTCGGGGAACTAAGATCCCACAAGCAGCGCAGACAAAAAAAAAAAAAAAAAGTGCAGTTGGGAGGATGCAGGAAAGTTCAGCCCTCTCCCCAAAACACAGTTAAATAACTGTCATTGAATGATTAAGCTTCATTTACAAAAAATGTTTTGTGGAGAAAAACATTAGCCCAATTCGGAGAAACTCCACTTTACATTCCATAATGGAAACAATTATTTGCCAAATTAATTGATGGAGGTTAAGTCCAGGTCTTGGGTCTGCCTCTGTTAGGGGAGAACTCCCAGAACCTGGGAGTGAATGTGGCCTATTTCCCATTACGTGTTTCGTTTTCATTTGCGTCTGTGGCTGTTTCCTGATTTGGGGCCACCTGTCCCTGAACAGCTGGAAGCAGGCGGTATATTCAAGAGCCCTCAGCCAAAAAACATTAACTTCTGATCCTTGGTGCTGTCGGGGGTGGTTGCTGGCTGCGGGAATCCTCCTGCCTCTGCCTTTGCACAGCTGTATGTTCCAAATCACTGGAGGGAAAACTGTTTTGTATTAAAATGCATTATTTTTTTAGATCATAGAGCTTGTCAGTTTCTCACCCATGACTGAGCTTACAGGCCAGTGTCCGTGTAGATTAGGCTATGATGGGAAACGCTGCAGTGAGTGTGAGGAAAATTATTATGGGGATCCCCTGGGGCGATGCATTCATGAGTATTGGTAATTCTGAAAACGTGAGTACAGTCAGCCTGGTCCTACCACGGGCTTGCTATGAACCAACTGAGTTTTAAATTCCTTTATTTGGTCGAAAAATCACAAACTTTAAAATAAATTTTCCACAAAATATTAATAAAATGAAAACTGTGTAACCAATTAGTTTTTTTTCTTTTCCATTATGATCTGTTACAGGATATTGAATATAGTTCCCTGTTGCTATACAGTAGGACTTTGTTGTTTATCCATCCTATATATAATAGTTTGCATCTGCTAATCCCAAACTCCCAATCCGTCCTTCCCCACCCCTTGGCAACCACAAGTCTGTTCTCTATGTCTGTGAGTCTGTTTTGTAGGTAAGTTCATTTGTGTCATATTTTAGATTCCATATGTAAGTGATATCGGATGGTATTTGTCTTTTTGACTTACTTCGCGTAGTATGATAATCTCTAGGTCCACCCATTTTGCTGCAGATGGCATTATTTCATTCTCTTTTATGGCTGGTAGTGTTCCATTGTATATATACACTACATCTTGTTTATCCATTCATCTGTCGATGGACATTTAGGCTGTTTCAGTATCTTGGCTATTGTGAATAGTGCTGCTGTGAACATAAGGGTGTGTGTTTCTTTGTTTTTAAAGATTTTTTTGATGTGGACCATTTTTAAAATCTTTATTGAATTTTTTACAATATTGCTTCTGCTTTATGTTTTGGATTTTTGGCCCCGAGGCACGTGGGATCTTAGCTCCCTGACCAGGGATCAAACCCGCACCCCCTGCATTGGAAGGCAAAGTCTTAACCACTGGACTGCCAGGGAAGTCCCCTCTTTTTTGAATTACAGTTTTGTCTGGATATATGCCCAGGAGTGGGATTGCTGGATCATATGGCAACTCTACTTTCAGTTTTTTGAGGAACCTCCATACTGTTTTCCACAGTGGCTGCACCAACTTACATTCCCACCAACAGTGTAGGAGGGTTCCCTTTTTTCCACACCCTCTCCAGCATTTGTTATTTGTAGACTTTTTAATGATGGCCATTCTGACCAGTGTGAGGTGGTACCTCATTGTAGTTTTGGTTTGTGTTTCTCTAATAATTAGCGATGTTGAGCATCTTTTCATGTGCCTGTTGGCCATCTGTATGTCTTCTTTGGAGAAATGTCCATTTAGGTCTTCTGCCCATTTTCTTTTTTTTCCTTCACAAGAATTTATTTGATGAAAATGCTCCAAGAAATGCATAAAAATCTATGCATTTTCTTTATTTTTTCCCAATCCTAATATATATATATATTTTTTAACATCTTTATTGGAGTATAATTGGTTTACAATGGTGTGTTAGTTTCTGCTTTATAACAAAGTGAATCAGTTATACATATACATATGTTCCCATATCTCCTCCCTCTTGCGTCTCCCTCCCTCCCACCCTCCCCATCCCACCCCTCTAGGTGGTCACAAAGCACCGAGCTGATCTCCCTGTGCTATGCGGCTGCTTCCCCCTAGCTATCTGTTTTACATTTGGTATTGTATATATATATGCCTGTTTTTTTATTGGATTGTTTGGTTTCTTGTTATTGAGTTGTATGAGATGTTTGTATATTTTGGAAATGAAGCCCTTGTCCGTCAAATCATTTGCAGATATTTTCTCCCAGTCTGTGGGTTATCTTTTCATTTTGTTTATGGTTTCCTTTGCTGTGCAAAAGCTTGTAAGTTTGATTAGGTCCCATTCATTTATTTTTGCTTTTATTTCTATTGCCTTGGGAGACTGACCTAAGAAAACGTTGGTATGATTTATGTCAGAGAATGTTTTGCCTATGTTCTTTTCTAGGAGTTCTGTGGTGTCGTGTCTTATATTTGAAAGTCCACAAACTTTAATCCTAGTTTTGAAAAGAAATGTTTTAGCCCTATAAATTTTTTTCTCTTATATTAAAACTTTACGCTATATTGAATGTTAGCCTATATTGAAATTCCTCAAAGTCATTAAAATGGAACAGATTTCTGAGATCGTAACTTGTAGCCGATTTTCTGCTATTTGGAAACATGCTGACAAAAATAACTACTTTCGATTAAGGTACATGCTGGGAGATGGATCATAGGAAGTCAGCAGAGTGGATGTTTTTTCAATGTGGCTCTCATAACTTGGGGTCCATCACAGATTCACTTATTTATTTAAAAATATTCACAGAGTGTCTACTGGGTACTCTAGGTAGTGAACAAATAAGGCAAGGCCCCCAACCTATGGAGTTTGTGTTCTAGTGTCTTTCATTCCATGCCTCAGCAATAGTTACAGGATTTAGAGGAGGGCTGTTCGATACTTTCTGCAGAAATGGAAACATTCTACATCTGCACTGTCCAGTTCGGGGGCCACCAGCCATATGTAGCCACTGAGCACTTGCACTGTGGCTCGTGCATGTGAGCCAAACAATTGTTTATTTCATTTAATCCATTTACGTTTAAATAGCACATGTGGTTAGTAGCTACCATATCGGACAGTGCAGATTTAGAATCTGGGTTGGTTCTAGGAGGAGGGATCTTTGAATCTCTGTTTGAAATCGGTTTCCAAAAGATATCAATCCGAAGAAATGTCAGATGTAATGGATTTATGATTGTGGTCACCTCAATGTAGCCACATACGGTAACTCTTTCCTCCTTTCCATTCCTTTATAAATGTGCTTTTGTGGCTTAAAAAAAAAAATGCCTTTGGATTTTTGCCCCATTCAAATACTCAATTTTCCAAATGGAATTGCTACTTTAAAAACCAGGGAGAGGGCTTCCCTGGTGGTGCAGTGGTTGAGAGTCCGCCTGCCGTTGCAGGGGACACGGGTTCGTGCCCTGGTCTGGGAGGATCCCACATGCCGCGGAGCGGCTGGGCCCGTGAGCCATGGCCGCTGAGCCTGCGCGTCCGAAGCCTGGGCTCCGCGACGGGAGAGGCCACAGCAGTGAGAGGCCCGCGTACCACAAAAAAAACAAAAAAAAAAACCAGGGAGAAATGTTGGCTCTTAGAAAAACTGTCTTAGAGAGCCTCTATTCCTGTGCCCCTCTAATATTTTAATAATCTTACTTTATAAAAATGTTTTCATCTTTCACAGAGGAAACTTTGCAAACAGTCCACTCAGGCCACAGATCCCACGAGTGCTCCTGGGGACGAGCAGGTAATAAGGGGGAGCCTTGGCCTCCAGCTGGTGAAGCACACAGAGCTCCCGCAGGGGTTTCTGCAGAGGCCTTTGGACCAAAGGGAATGTGCCAGACAGGTGGCGTCTATTGGAGGAGCCCAGTGTGTTCAGCAGCTTTTATTTCTAGTCGGCATTAGCTTCACGCAAGCTGGCCGAAGGCGTTTTCAAATCCCTTGCTCCTTGCAGTCAAGCCAATGGCATCGGTTCGTGATCCCCTGACCTTTTGGAAATTGCTGTAACTTCAGTAGCTCTTCCCATCCTTCATCCTCAGGCTTAATCAAAAACCTATTCATTGGAAGTGCATGTAGTATCAGAATTTTTTTTTTTTTAGTTAAGACAAAGTGAATTTAATGTTCTCTGTTTTTTAAAAGACTTTTTTAAAGAGCAATTTTAGGTTCACAGCAAAAGTGAGAGGAAGATACAGATATTTCCCATATACCCCCAGACCCCACCATGGCCTCCCCCATTATCAACATCCCCAGAAGAGTGGTACACTTGTTACAATCATGAACCTATATTGATACGTCATAATCACCGAAGTTCATATTACATTAGGGTTGACACTTGGTGTTGTCCATTCTATGGGTTTAGACAAATGAATAATGACATGTATCCATAATTATAGTATCATGCAGAGTATTTCCACTACCCTAAAAATCCTCTGTGCTTTGCCTTTTCGTCCTTATCCACCACCTAACCCCTGGCAACAACTGATATTTTTATTGTCTCCATAGTTTTGCCTTTTCAGAGTGTGAAAAGGAATCATGCAACATGTAGCCTTTTCGGATTGGCTTCTTTCATTTAGTAGTAAAAGCATTTAAGGTTCCTCCATGTCTTTTTATGGCTCAACACTCATTTCTTTTTAGTGCTGAATAATATCCAGTTGTCTGGATATACCATGGTTTCTTTATCCATTCGCCTACTGATAGACATCTTGGTTACTTCTAAGTTGGCAATTATGAATAAAGTCGCTAAAAACACCCGTGTGCAGGTTTTTATGTGGGCATGTTTTGAACTTCTTTGGGTAAATACCAAAGAGCGATCCGCCCACCCACCCCTTTTTTGATAACAGAACAGTTTTCCTTATGTAATGGAAGACAGCACACCCAGGCTGGGTTTCACCAAGAAAAAGTGTGATCATGGGCCTTCTTAGAGAATCTGTGACACGCCCGAACCACCCTGGGGTGGGGGGTGGGGGGCAGTAGCAGCCGTCACAAGTGTGTCCTCCATTAGATCCATATTCTTCACTCACATAGGTAAAGAAACCAGATGGGAGCAACTCACACTTGCAGTAAAAGTGTCACCTAATAATGTCCATATAAAAAACGAGAGCTGGGAATTCCCTGGCTGTCCAGTGGTTAGGACTCCACGCTTCCACTGCAGGGGGGACGGGTTTGATCCCTGGTCGGGGAACTAATCCCGCAAGCCACAGTGGAGTGTCCAAAAACAAAAAACAAAAAAAACCGAGAGCTGATGGGTCAGTGGAATGAAACAAGGTATGCTCTGCTTTAATGGCCATTGCACAGATCTCTGAAATTATCCTGCTTTTATTTATTTATGTATGTATTTATTTGCGGTAGGCGGGCCTCTCACTGTTGTGGCCTCTCCCATTGCGGAGCACAGGCTCCGGACGCGCAGGCCCATCGGCCATGGCTCACGGGCCCAGCCACTCCGCGGCATGTGGGATCTTCCCGGACCGGGGCACAAACCCGTGTCCCCCGCATCGGCAGGTGGACTCTCAACCACTGCGCCACCAGGGAAGCCCTATCCTGCTTTTTAACATTCACCTTAGAAATGAGAGTTGGGAAGATTCTCAGGGGAGAGGGGAGGACTTTATTCTTGAGCTGGTCATGAGCCAAAGGCCAGGTGACTGACATTCTCCGCTCCTTCTCCCATCCTTTTCAGCATGTGACTGCAACGGGAAAGATTCCCAGAAGCACATCTGTGACCAGGACATGGGCACGTGTCACTGCCGAGAGGGTGTTAGCGGCCCACGATGTGATCGCTGCGCCCAGGGTCACAGCCAGAAATTCCCTGCTTGTCTTCGGTGTCACTTGTGCTTTGATCCATGGGACCACACCATTTCTTCCCTCTCCAAAGCGGTGCAAGGGTTAATTAGGCTGGCTGCTAACATGGAAGATAAAAGAGAGACCCTGCCTGTCTGTGAGGCCGACTTCAAAGGCCTCAGAGAGAACATGTCTGAAATAGAAAGGATTTGGAGACATCCTGTTTTCTCATCTGGGGAATTCTTAAAAGTCAAGGATTATCATGACTCTGTTCGGTAAGGTTAGTGTGCAAGTAATAGATCGCCAAGTTCCTGATTTACCTTAAGTCCTGTGAACTTTAGCAGCCTTCAACTTAGAAATGAACCTTTGTTGATGTTAGGGAAGTAATCATTGTTCCATTAATAACCAGGCTGGGAATCATCGTTGTCTCTTTGTTACCTAGTTAGAATGACATGATTTTGCGAGATGTCATTGATTATAACAAAAAGGCAATCATGAGGTTAATTGAGAAACCCAAACTCAGCAGAGCTGAAAGACAAAATTGGAAGTGGGGAAGTTTCTAATACGAAAATTTTGTTTTGACCATGCTCTCAGGGAAATTTGCTAAATGTTCCCAAATGCTTCAGTTGTTTATAAGCCCACACATTACTGTGAAGTCATATAATGCGTACAGTAATTCTTTCAAGGTGCAATATCATTTTTATTATATATTATTGAGCCCTTCTTTTCATTCATCAAATATTTCTAGAGATTATGGTGATTGCTCTGGACCAGGAGTCAGGAAACCGTAGCCCGCAGGCAGTATCTGACCCATCACATTTTTTTGTAAATAAAGTATTATTGGAACACAGCCACACCCATTATTTACATCCTCTGTGGCTGCTTTCTCTCTACAATGACAGAGTTGAGCGATTGCGACAGGGCCACTATGGTGCCCCCAAGGCCTAAAATATTTACTCTCTGGCCCTTTAGAGAAAAAGTTTGCTGACCTACTCTGGGCAAAACGAGGGTGAGCTGGGTATAGTTTCCACCCCTCTAAGAGTACACAGTCTACTAAGAAACCAAAAAGATTATAGTTCTATAGAAAAATATCCCTCCTTCCCCAGAAAAGCTCCTGGATTAGAGAACAGTTGAAGCTGCAGAGTTTTATGTTACATAAAACACAAGCATAGGGACTTTCCTGGTGGTGCAGTCATTAAGAATCTGCCTGTCAGGGCTTCCCTGGTGGCGCAGTGGTTAAGAATCCACCTGCCAATGCAGGGGACACGTGTTCAAGCCCTGGTCCGGGAAGATCCCACATGCCGTGGAGCAACTAAGCCCGTGTGCCACAGCTACTGAGCCTGCACTCTAAAGCCCACGAGCCACAACTACTGAAGCCCGTTCACTGCAACTACTGAACCCACATACTGTAACTACTGAAGCCTGCGCAGCTAGAG